CTAATACAGGTCACCATACATCGATGGTGATTAACTGTGAGCGGTCAATAACAGGTATTGCGATTTTTTTTGACCTATAAATGCCAGAATGTACATACATAATCTATGGTGATGAACTGTGAATAACCCAACTAATAATGGATAGCCATTGTAATATTACATGCCTACATTAACCCCTTTCTCTGGTCTTCGCACCGAATTGGCTCCGTGACAACATCACATTTATTCCTTTTAAGAGTGAAAGAGGAGGAGGATTTCTCTGCAACTCTGGCTTTCGCCTGGTGAGGCTGGTTGTAATTACTAGCGAAACGTCATACTCAAATTCTAAGTTTTGTGAGTTTACTTCAACACACCAGTGTGAAAACTAGGGACAAGGCTTGGGCATGTGCTCAGAAAAGTAATTTGGTAAATGACTGGCTAGAATACAGGATTTTAAGGAATAGATGCGTCAAAAAAATACGGCATGAAAAAATGCTTACTTTTCCTCCACTCTTCCTGGAATCACATGGAAATGCCAGGATCTTCTGGAAAACAATCAAATTTATCGAAAAGGCATCCAAAACAGATAATCTGCCCATTGAGCTTAACCGAAATGGGGGATATTTTTCAGAGCCCCAAAAAATAGTGGACAATTTTAACCTGAATTTTTCTGAAGCTGGGTGACCTTTTTGATAATGTATTGGGAGTCACCCCTGCTCATGCAAATTCCAACACCCCTGTCCAAACATCAAACGAATTTAGTTTCCATACAATCCACGAAGGTAGTGTTCTGAAACAACTGTCCTACCTCAAAGGGTCCTCCTCTACCGGAGCAGATAGTATTCCTGTCTTTGCTCTACTAACTGTTGGTCACCTAATATACAAACCTATAGCCCATACTTTCAACCTGTCCATCAAAGAAGCATCAGTATCTCTAGAATGGAAACATTCCTATGTTCGTCCACTTCACAAAGGGGGCCCTAAAGATGATCCAAATAGCTACCGACCAATCTCAATTTTGTCCCCGTTGATTAATTTATTTTTTTATTATTGAACTACCAAATTAAAAAATACAGCACCACATCTGCTGCATTCGACTCTCTGAACCACATTTACAGTAGCCTTGATAATAAGAAGTACTGCGCCAGTATTTTCCTTGACTTGTCCAAAGCCTTGGATACAGTAGACCACAACACCCTGCTTGGTAAACTAAGTTGCCTCCGTTTCTCCAAACACGCAGTCGAATGGTTAAAAATTACCTCTCTTCTCGCACCTAAACTGTTTTCACAGATGGTTGGAGGTCAAACAGTGTTAAGATAACAAAAGGGGTTCCACAGGGTTTCATCCTCGGCCCCCTCTTGTTTTCTCTTTATGTCAATGACTTGGGCATTGACCTGGATCATTCCAGGGTAAATCTTTTTGCAGATGACACAATACTGATTACTGCTGGCCACTCTCCGGATGACGTGATTGCTAAGCTCCAGGGTGATTTCAACAAACTACAACATCAGCTAGTTGCTCTTAAACTAGTCCTGAATACCTCCAAAACCAAGGTCCTATGCTTTTCACCAGGACTATTTTTTCCCCAATTACAATTCCTTAAATAATTATCAAATAGAGCAAGTCAAGATCTATAAGTATCTTGGGGTCATCCTTGATTCAAAACTGAATTTTGAAGATCACATTGATTATATTGGTAAAAAGACAAAAATGAAAATTGGTTTTCTGTATCGACACAAGCACTGCTCCCCCCTATGTTCTGTTTGGAATTGATAAAAGCTACCATACTGCCTCTACTTGATTACGGTGATATCGTATATAAATCAGCCACCAGTACTGTCCTGAAGAAGCTTGACTCAATTTATCACTCGGCCTTAACATTTGCATTGAACTGCCCATATAGGACCCACCACTGTGATCTCTACATTGGGTAAAACTTAACATCTCTTAATGTTCGACGGCTTGTGTATCAGATCTTATTTATTCACGATGTACTTGCAAAAAAATCCGCAGACTACCTGCCTTATCTCCTCTCTGTTTCGCTCATTTACCAGCTTCACATTCCTTATTGCCAACAAATACTGGAGGAAGGGCCTTTGCTATTGATGCCCCTAGGGTCTGGAATGCTATTGCCAATAAACTGCAACTTGGATCACTACCTGTGAGATCTTCACTCAAAACTGTTCTAGAGGAGTTGTACACCCCTAGCTGCCACTGCGATTCAGTGGCCTGAAATAAAATGTTTTGCTCCGGATGACCGCTGCAAAGTATTATCTTGTGTTTTGATTATAGTGTGCTGATCTTAAAGGTGCATTGAGAATTTTTGATACTCCTACTAATACTCCTGCTGTTATGGAGTGACTCATGCAGCCAACTATGGCTGCAAAGTTGGTAGTACATGTTATGTACAGTGAGGGGAAAAAAATATTTGATCCCCTGCTGATTGTGTACGTTTGCCCACTGGCAAAGAAATGATCAGTCTATAATTTTAATGGTAGGTTTATTTGAACAGTGAGAGACAGAATAACAACAACAAAATCCAGAAAAACGCATGTCAAAAATTTTATAAATTGATTTGCATTTTAATGAGGGAAATAAGTATTTGACCCCCACTCAATCAGAAAGATTTGTGGCTCCCAGGTGTCTTTTATACAGGTAACGAGCTGAGATTAGGAGCACACTCTTAAAGGGAGTGCTCCTAATCTCAGCTTGTTACCTGTATAAAAGACACCTGTCCACAGAAGCAATCAATCAATCAGATTCCAAACTCTCCACCATGGCCAAGACCAAAGAGCTCTCCAAGGATGTCAGGGACAAGATTGTAGACCTACACAAGGCTGGAATGGGCTACAAGACAATTGCCAAGACAGAGGTTCTTTGTAAGCCATCTGGCTACCATGAGAGATTCGTTCGCTTACGGTGGCTTTCAGACAGCATACATTAATTTTTCGTCTCCCCCCTCCTCTTTTCAGAACATAGATGGACTAGTCCTTCTAAATAAACCGCCAAATCGCTGCGCGTGGCGCTGACGTTTTTTTATAAATAAATACACCGTTAAAAATAAATAAATTAATGCAAACCGACACTTCTTTCAAATGTTTCTTGCCGTTGGTTTTTTTCACACCTGATGACGACCGTTTGTGTTATGGTCGAAACGTCGTGAGAATTTTTATTGTTTTATATATATTTTATTGTTTCCCTTCAACGTGACTTTACCGAAAGAGCTAACAATATGAATAAGGTGACGACAGTTGGTGCGATTATTCGCAAATGGAAGAAACACAAGAACTGTCAATCTCCCTCGGCCTGGGGCTCCATGCAAGATCTCACCTCGTGGAGTTTCAATTATCATGAGAACGGTGAGGAATCAGCCCAGAACTACACGGGAGGATCTTGTCAATGATCTCAAGGCAGCTGGGACCATAGTCACCAAGAAAGCAATTGGTAATACTACGCCATGAAGGACAAATCCTGCAGCGCCCGCAAGGTCCCCCTGCTCAAGAAAGCACATATACATGCCCGTCTGAAGTTTGCCAATGAACATCTGAATGATTCAGAGGACAATTGGGTGAAAGTGTTGTGGTCAGATGAGACCAAAATGGAGCTCTTTGGCATCAACTCAACTCGCCGTGTTTGGAGGAGGAGGAATGCTGCCTATGACCCCAAGAACACCATCCCCACCGTCAAACATGGAGGTGGAAACATTATGCTTTGGGGGTGTTTTTCTGCTAAGGGGACAGGACAATTTCACCGCATCAAAGGGACGATGGACGGGGCCATGTACCATCAAATCTTGGGTGAGAACCTCCTTCCCTCAGCCAGGGCATTGAAAATGGGTCGTGGATGGGTATTCCAGCCTGACAATGACCCAAAACACACGGCCAAGGCAACAAAGGAGTGGCTCAAGAAGAAGCACATTAAGGTCCTGGAGTGGCCTAGCCAGTCTCCAGACCTTAATCCCATAGAAAATCTGTGGAGGGAGCTGAAGGTTCGAGTTGCCAAACGTCAGCCTCGAAACCTTAATGACTTGGAGAAGATCTGCAAAAAGGAGTGGGGCAAAATCCCTCCTGAGATGTGTGCAAACCTGGTGGCCAACTACAAGAAACGTCTGACCTCTGTGATTGCCAACAAGGGTTTTGCGACCAAGTACTAAGTCATGTTTTGCAGAGGGGTCAAATACTTATTTCCCTCATTAAAATGCAAATCAATTTATAACATTTTTGACATGCGTTTTTCTGGATTTTGTTGTTGTTTTTCTGTCTCTCACTGTTCAAATGAACCTACCATTAAAATTATAGACTGATAATTTCTTTGTCAGTGGGCAAACGTACAAAATCATCAGGGGATCACATACTTGTTTCCCTCACTCTATATCGTTTATTGTAAAATTTCAATCACAGTTCCTATGATCACTGTTACATTGCTTTTATATCTTTATTTTGGTGATTTCAAAAACGTTTTGGTTTAGCCATATTTGTTTGTTGTAGTACAGAGTTAGACTGATAACTTTAATCTAAATTGTCTCATGGTTGTTATTGTTTGACTTGCATCCTACTGGGATTTTTGCACACCGCATTGATATACGGTGCTTTTTCTGGAAGACTGCTGTTTTTTCCTGGATTTTTCTGTTTGCGCTTAGTCACTTTAAGATGTTTCTTGTTCATGTTTTTGGTAGTTGTGGTTGCATTCGATTCAAGAGCCGAATGACTCACAGGGCTATACCAAATAAATGAAACTGAAATAAAACTGTGCTGAACTAGTAACTAATTGGCACGTTTGGTTAGTGACAAACCTTACTAATTAACTGTCGGGTGGTGGCGGGTTTAACGACACTTATCTTGACGTATTATATGGAGTTCAGTTGCTCCTCGGAATGGAACCACAGATTGTCCAAAGTGAGCACAAACATTGCAATGCCTTGTCTCATCATACTGGATGGCTCAGGGCTGCGAGTTCATTTCATGCGTGTACCATGCCAAATTCTAATGCGTATGTTGAACTTTCTTTTGCACCGTACTTAGTCAACCATGGTAATATCCGGTCTTTCCTGGTCTTGAGGCAAGACCAAAGAGCTCCGTGATTTATATGTTGACTACGTTAATCGGCTTCTATCTGTGTGCGTGCATCCCTAGCGTTTCATCCAGTACCTGGCATCGAGGAATACCCTCTTCAACCTGAGCAATTTCCTGGACAAAAGTGGGGTTCAAGGTGAGAGATATGGAGGCTTTTGTTCACGTGTGTTGGTGTCTTGTCTGTATATTTTTTTCCTTTTTTAGGGTCACGAGTGGCAAAGTGAAGCCCATTTTGGTGATTTTGTACAGACAGCAACACAATGTCCTCTTCGTGCAATGCAGATGGAAAGTGATATTTGAGATATAAATCGTCCTCAGTGAAACAAATACATTTTAAAGACTTCAAATATTTTTCGAAGTTGGCCAGACACTCGCCAAAGCACGGAGCCAGCCCCACTCAGATCTTGATTTAAACTTTGACATCCACATCTTATTATCTTCCACCTCTGATTCTTTATTGTACTTTATGTACATATGTTGAACCTGTTCACACCATATGTACCACAACAGTGCTCATCGGAGGTGCGGGCTATTGAACGTATTGCCATACCCCATAATTGAACCTGCGATTTAAAACATTCTCGATTTTTTTTAAAGTGGTGATTTAATACCAATTGGCAATAAGCACATGCAAAACCCTAGCCCAGCTCTTAAGTGTTTCCTCAAACCTTTCCTTATGAAGCCTGAAGGCACCTGTCTGCTGTTGGGTAGGAGAGCCGAGACCCCCAAGGGCGATACATACGATCCGTTAACTCGAGGTAACACTGCGTTAATGTTTTTTTTTGTTTTTCAGGATACGACATGTCAACCTTTGTTCGTCGGTACAGCAAATACCTGAATGAAAAGGCTTATTCCTACAGACAGATGGCCTTTGACTTCACACGTGTTAAACGGGGGTAAGTGAGGTAACAGAGGGCTGCTGCCTTCTCCCATCTGTTCCAGAGTGCATCTACGAGTATTTCTCTCTTCTCGTTCCTGACAGAATCTCTTCATCTCGTGCCTCTTCCTTGGTTGCATCATTCATGATTAAAGTTGCTCTTCACGTTGTCATACAAAATAAGAAAACATTACTCATCACTCGGATGCATAACGTTGATAGAAATATAACTATTGCATGAATGTTGTATAATAAATACTACATACTGTATACCATATGTATAGTGATTAGAATTCATTATATCTGTGGCCCATGGCTCTCAGATTCTTCATCAATCTGTCCCTCAACGCAAAAAGTTTCGACGACCCTGATTTTTGGTCTTACCTAGGTCATCAAAGAATAAGTAAAAATGACCCATTGTATAAATTACACTTTCTTAATTTGGCCACGAGCTTCTCCTAAGGCCTTTCTCAATATTCAGTCCTCATCGTCGGCGATGATCCGACCACGGGATGAAGGCCCCTCCCCACACCGTCTCCACGCCTCATGGTCCTGCGGGGCTGCATCCCATTTTGCTCTTGTCAGGGCACGACCTCACCCCTAGCTACCATTCCGTCACCAGTCTGGTCTATCGCACACCGACGCTTCTTGTGATGTCTCCTGTCCAAACTCACTTCCCTATATCATCAAACGCCATATGCGTTGTTGTGGAGTGGTATAAGCACGTTGAATCATTTTGTGAAGTGCGCTATAGATGAGTTAATGATTATATTCAATAAAATTTATAACCAGACATCCACCACAATGCATAATGATTTTTTATACAATATTACTTTTTTGCATTGAACAGCGCCCCATCGTTGGGATGGGAGTGCTCTAGGCCCAAGCTGCCTAATGGAAACTCGGTATCTTGGGGCGTGCTGTGCAAAAGCCTTACTGATAAAAAATGAACACCTTAATTGCTCGTTCAGACATGGAGCAAATGCAGCGTCACCAGTATGTTGGAGTAAATCGCCAGATTTTAGGTGCTGTAATTATAATTGTTTCGGTTCGTTGAAATTTGCGTACATGGCAAACTCCAGCCCCTGCCCATAAACGATGGCAGCCACGTTAGGCCCTGAAAGTGGTTGGGAGATGAACCATGAGTGAAGCATATCTGACTTAGAGGAAAACCTCACGCAAGTGATATTACAAAGAGCAAACGTTATTCATAATGAGCGTTGAGGTTATTTTAGCTTGTGTATTTCAGGGTTTGATCCAAAAATGGGCCCCAGGCTGAAGCTGGGAAGTCTCCACAGGAGAAGCGCTCACAGCTGGTGGTTCTGTGTGACCTTTGTTTGTAACCGTCGCACCCATCAGCATCCACGCAGCCAGTGCTTGTTTTATTATAGTGCCTGGAACATATGAATTAAACAAAAAGGGGCGTATATATTATCTATTTATTTAGCCCTGATTTTATTTACCGGGCAGACCTTGCTTAGTTCAACCCTGTAGAATGCTGATTCGTTATGGCGGTTTTTGTCCTGGAGAAAATTTTTACGAAAAATTAAAATCAAACCCTAAATGAAGCGATTTAAGAGTGAAAACACACAGCAGTGGTGGCTTAGGAAACGTACCCGCCCCTATTAATCGCTCGGCCAATGAGAGCGTGCGTCAAATAAACTTTTTTATGTAAAAAATGTATATATTTTTGTTCTCAATGCTAGCCAGGTGAGACCTCCATGAGATCGAGTATCGGGCTCCACCTACACCTCACCACAGAAATTTAGACTGAGAGCATTGCTAAAATCTTGGCGGTTCTGAAGCTATTCTCTGAGTGACCCAGACTGGGAGCAGCTCCTACAGCCTCGTCTGGCACCGCTGCTATGGAGGAGTACAGTAGAACGCACTCGAGTACAGTGCATCATAAATTATTTAATGAATGTTTACCATCTGCATTATTATTCGCGCTGTTATTGATACTCTAATAAAGCCCTTGTATATTGATCATACGAAATAAATAAGTCTGTCGGGAACTTGCCCCATATATACAATGGTATAAAACCCCTTGCAGTGATGATTCTATTCGCTTCTTCAGTGTTCGCTTCTTCAGAGAAACGCACCTCAAGTGCTGAACCAAGGTCTGCCTGCATTCCCAATATGTTGGGAAATGTGTCGCACAAATAACCCCGGCACGCTCTTTTCGGAATACGGGGCGCCCTTGGTAATACTATAACTGGTGAGAGGTGCTGCCTTCCGGTGTTACTGCGACATCTTCCGTTACAACGCTTCCCTCTAACCCAATGCGCGCGTTTCTTCTCTCCAATAGCAACGAAGGTCTCATGAGAAGTATGAATGTGGAAAAGCTTCTCAAGGCTCTGCCTGTCTTGCAAGGACAAGTGGATGCTCTTCTCGACTTTGATGTAATGTCTCAATTTCTCTGGTCATAATATTAACCGGGATTACTATGACACGTGTTGTGAGTGTCTTAAAAGTGTGCACAGTGTAGTTTTGTTAGAAACTCAAACAATTAAAATTTAGATTCGATCTGCTTTGCAGCCAGTGATCAATACAGTTAAGATCTGAATGGGCTCAAGCTATCGCACTTGATGATATTTTTTTGGAACTTCCGTAAGTCTTGCTCGAGTTCCGTTTTGGAAGCATTGATCGCAGAAACGTTGTTGATATTGTGGAGTGGGATGAACGTTGTGAGTGGGTTGGCAATATTAATAGCTCTGCTGAAGCAATGGCTGTGTTTAAACTCGGTGTCGTTTTTGTAATTTAAATTGTATTTTCTTTTTTCAAAACATTTCTTTTACCTTAAACATCTTAATTTTATTGTGTCTATCACCACTTGTCAATCAATCAAACTTTATTTTATGCTCTAACATCGGCCTCAATAAAGTAGGCACATTACTGCAGAACAGGAACGGTGAGGTAATATACATTATTCCTTTTACAATAACATGCAATATATGAATTACTTTACTCCAGCATCAAGCATAAATGTGTATGTTGGGTGGCCAAAGTCTTACATTTAAAATGTTCTGGTTATATGCATTATCTTGACTCTTTATGCCAAATTTCAGCTTTCTAGCTTCTCTATAAAAGCAAATAACCTCGCCCCCACCCCCCGCTTTGGGGTGCCAAAATGGGTGGCATTTTGTTTCTAGACAGCAGATTTTTCTGCCCACAAAAGTGATATTCTCTGCAGCCTGACAAGCGTATTGGTTCTCGTCCCATCAAGGATGGTTGACAATTGCAGCTGATAGAATTCTGATGGAAATTGTGAGTCCAATAGCTGTATTACTCTTTATAAAACAACGTGAATAATTTCTCATGAGTAAAATCGATGCTCGCATGCTGGGCACTCCTTTCTGTAATCCAGCACATTGTGGGCGTTATCAGCGAGTTGTTTCGACACAGTGTGAGATACGTCCACATGCAGGATCGGCGAGGCACCAGGTCAACTAAATGAAAACTAAACTTCTCGATTTGAAGCTTTCGTGACTGCAAGGATTCATACTTTTTGTTTTTTTTCGGTAAAGTCACGTAGGTAAAATAAAATGAAAGAGAACAATTAAATCACGACATTTCGGAGGCAACACAAGCTTCCGTCTTCAGGTGGAACAGTCACAGCAGAATATCTGTGTCAAGTGCACAGTTCCGAGACGACTTGGATTATATATAGGTCAGGGGGGGGGAGGAGCCAGAAAGGGACGTGGGTGGGTGCGAGGGCTGAGCTAAGCTGCCTTCTGTTAAACTGCACAAAAGCAGGTAAACAACCCTTTTGTTATGCTGCAGGAGGGTTTCGGGGGGAGGCGATGCAAGACATCAATTAAAGACCAATTTTTTGAAACCTAAAATGAAAACTACGAAAATGGCTGTAAAATTATAAGGTAGCTGAAGTTTGACATACAACCACTGAGAAGTGGAAATGGCTGTACAATTAAAAGGCAGCTAACGTTTGACTTGATTTATAACATCTTTCCAGTGGTTGCTTAATTTGAAACCATCCTCTCGGTTGAAGTTGTGTCTATGTTTGTATATCTGGATGGCTTCATGGACAAATCTTTGATAATAACCGGGAGGTTTGCAGAGAACTTTGGTATCAGAGAACACAATGTCATGAGAACCCGCTGTGTTGAAGCAATGATCAGCCACGGCCGAATAATTCGTTCTACCGTGTTTCAAATCTGATTTGTGCTCGCGGATTCGGTCAGAAATATGTCGTTTCGTCTCCCTGATATAGCAGTCACCGCAGGTACAACTCAATGATGATGATTTTTCTTTTAATGAGGGAAATAAGTATTTGACCCCCTCTCAATCAGATTTCTGGCTCCCAGGTGTCTTATACAGATAACGTGCTGAAATTAGGAGCACACTCTTAAAGGGAGTGCTCCTAATCTCAGCTTGTTACCTGTATAAAAGACACCTGTCCACAGAAGCAATCAATCAATCAGATTCCAAACTCTCCACCATGGCCAAGACCAAAGAGTTCTCCAAGGATGTCAGGGACAAGATTGTAGACCTACACAAGGCTGGAATGGGCTACAAGGCCATTGCCAAGCAGCTTGGTGAGAAGGTGACAACAGTTGGTGCAATTATTCGCAAATAGAAGAAACACAAAATACCTGTCAATTTCCCTCGGCCTGGGGCTCCATGCAAGATCTCACCTCGTTTAGTTGCAATGATCATGAGAACGGTGAGGAATCAGCCCAGAACTACATGGGAGGATCTTGTCAATCATCTCAAGGCAGCTGGGACCATAGTCACCAATAATACAATTGGTAACACACTACGCCGTGAAGGTCTGAAATCCTGCAGCGCCCGCAAGGTCTTGCTCAAGAAAGCACATATACATGCCTGTCTGCAGTTTGCCAATGAACATCTGAATGATTCGGAGGACAACTGGGTGAAAGTGTTGTGATCAGATGAGACCAAAATGGAGCTCTTTGGCATCAACTCGCCGTGTTTGAATGAGGAGGAATGCTGCCTATGACCCCAAGAACACCATCCCCACCGTCAAACATGGTTGTGGAAACATGATGCTTTGGGGGTGTTTTTCTGCTAAGGGGACAGGACAACTTCACCGCATCAAAGGGACGATGGACGGGGCCATGTACCGACAAATCTTTGGTGAGAACCTCCTTCCCTCAGTCAGGGCATTGAAAATGGGTCGTGAATGGGTATTCCAGCATGACAATGACCCAAAACACACGGCCAAGGCAACAAAGGAGTGGCTCAAGAAGAAGCACATTAAGGTCCTGAAGTGGCCTAGCCAGTCTCCAGACCTTAATCCCATAGAAAATCTGTGGAGGGAGCTAAAGGTTCGAGTTGCCAAACGTCAGCCTCGAAATCTTAATGACTTGGAGAAGACCTGCAAAGAGGAGAGGGATAAGATCCCACCTGAGATGTGTGCAAACCTGGTGGCCAACTACAAGAAACGTCTGACCTATGTGATTGCCAACAAGGGTTTTGCCACCAAGTACTAAGTCATGTTTTGCAGAGGGGTCAAATACTTATTTCCCTCATTAAAAAGCAAATAAATTTAACATTTTTGACATGCGTTTTTCTGGATTTTTTGTTGTTGTTATTCTGTCTCTCACTGTTCAAATAAAGCTACCATTAAAATTATAGACTGATCATTTCTTTGTCAGTGGGCAAACGTACAAAATCAACAGGGGATCAAATACTTTTTTCCCTCACTGTAGGTTTTCCGACCTAATTCTATCATATTTTAGGTTTTAGCTCTTACGATTATCTGGGTAAAGTTACATTCTGAATGAACAAGAATCATTACCATTCAACATCAATTGTATGTATGTTGAACGTATTTCATACCATACATAGCCAACTGCGCGAATCGGATGGTGCATGTTTGCGTCATGTGTAATTGGGTGGGCTTGCGGTTTGTGTATGGAAACATAACCCGAACTTCGACTGCCAATTGTTAATGCAGTGCTTCTCTGTCTACCCGTGTCCCGTGTCGCGTGTCGCTGACAGGCAAGCCCCAGTGACCTCAGCAACGGAGTGATTAACGCTGCTTTCTCACTGCTCTTCAAGGACATGATCCGTCTCTTTGCCTGCTACAACGACGGGGTCATTAACCTGCTGGGTGAGAGGTGGCAGCCCCGATGCTGCCTGAGGCTGCGTCTCCCCATTGCTCCGCTGCCTCCATCTCTGCTTGTCCCTCTGGTCCTTCTCCGCATGTTTCAGTCTCCCTTTGTTCTTTATGCATCCGTCTCGTCTTGGCCTACCAGTCTTTTCCCCTCTGTCTCCATCTCAGTGTCTCTGTATGTGTTCGTGGGTCTTGTGTTGGTTTCTCTCTGTCTCCTTTCTTCATGCCCCTCTCTCTGCCTATACCTCAACATGTCTGTACCACGCTGTTGCTCTTCACACCCTGTTTATGAAACTCCTACATCAAAACTAGTCCATGGTTTACTTTTTTAATAAGAGTGCAACTTTAAAACATTATGCCTAGAAGGTCCGTAGGCTTCCCTCGAAGGCTCGTTATTACCAACCTCTTATTGGTTTCTTAGTGGTGAGATGGATGCTTGTACGTTTTTTTGTTATTTATTGCTCACAATCCACCAGTACATTTTGGATATAGACTCTCTGATTTATATCATCTTCTGAGTTATTTAAGTGAATGTTTGTAGGCCCACAGACTGGGATAATGTCGTAAATAAGGAAAAGGTTTTCATTGCAGGTTTATATGTTGCAGAAAAATGAATGTATATAATTGTCCAAAATGTATTGAAATGTATAGTACTAATTTAACTAAGCGGAGATGGTCACTTGTTATTAGTCGGTAAGACAAAGATCCCCCCTATAGCCTCTAACAGACTGTTGGGGCAAGTACTGTTAGCGAACACCAATGAAGGACAGCATGGCACATGAGGGGGTGGGTGGCCAGCAACGCCCGACTGCCTTTGCCTCTCGAGTGCCGATGTTTACACACTGCACCAGGTACTCAAATATATGAGACAAAGTCGACCTAGGGGAGGCCCAGGACCAGTTCAGATAATTGTCACATGGTGTTGGCTGTGAGTGGGAATCGAACTTGGGTCGTTGGGTTCTTAGCGAGCGCAGCGCTAGCCGCTACACTACCACTCCCCACATTTAAGTTAGAGGGCACAGCGACACGTGGGTCCCCATCTACACAGCAGCCACACGCGGGTCCCCATCCAGACGGCAACCAACATGCGGGTCTCCATCCACGCAGCCACACGCGGGTCCCCATCTCCATTGCCCATTCCTCCACCATGCCCTCGCAGCCCCCAAGCTTTGGCATATTTAGACATAAGTTCTTGGCGACAAACAAAATTCACGATGGGATCCAGCAAACCAGGCTCCCAGATTCAGCGGACCATAAATATGCCATGGACCTGATTATGGGCGCCACGATGCCGAGATGTTAACTACCTCGTCAGGTATACGGGCGGTCGTGGGTTCGATCCCGACCCTGACGCCTGCTATATATTTGTAGTTTGCATTCTCTCCCCATGGTCGCATGGATTTTTTTGCGGGTCCTCTGGTGTCTCTGCTCACATTTAGAATAAGTGATAAGTTTCCACGTGATCAGCCGCCACTGCGTTGTTGAGCTATAATTTCTGGTCATGTCATCTCTAAAAAAGAGCTATATAGCCCAGCGGGCCTTAGCTGGTAAAATAAAAAATAGTTTAGTTTAGTTTAAATTTCGATTTAAAGCTTTCGTGACTGCAATGATTCATCTTCTTTGGTTCTTTCGGTAAAGTCACGTGACTTTACCGAAAGAACCAAAGAAGATAGTTTAGTTTTAGTTTAGTTTTAGTCCTTAGTCCTTCCATTCCTTGAGTGCAATTGTATTTCAAATGACAATAGCTATTTAAAATAACTGAAACAACATGTTTTTGGTATTTTCATGCTTATGTGTTATGTGTGTCACATGACACTCTGAGCACCGTAGCCAATGAGTTTCTTTCATTTCGACTGATTCATTATCCATGTATACTTTTAATTTAATGCTGTCTTTAACTGGGCAATTAATTACAAGGCTAATACTTGGTCTGCAGGCTATTCAACTCAGTAATCACTGCATTTAATAAAATGCAGAGACTCAATAGTTTTGTTGCAAACAGTAATGAGTAAATTAGGTGCTATTCTTCTGTTGATAAATGGGCAGGATCCTCTGTTACCCAACTCAGCCCAATTCTAATGCGATTTATCATCATCATCATAAAAAAAAATAGACGAGGCGTCACCTGACGAGCGTGTGGATTGTGACCTGTTGTCTGTGAGAACAGAAAAGTTCTTTGAGCTGAAGAAAACGCAAAGCAAGGATGCCCTGGAACTTTACAAGAAATTTCTCACTCGGATGACGCGTGTCGCTGAATTTTTCAAGATTGCCGAGGTAAGGAGTTAACACTATTATATAAAAATTACCAAAAAATATCATCATATTAACAGTGTGTGTAGCAATGGGTGTTGAGATGACGCACAGGACTGTATCAGCTTCACAAGGTGTCCTCCAACAATGGAGCAAGAGTTCAGACTCTGATTGGGTGTTCTCCTCATGGGGTAATACAGGGACGCAACTCGTTATTTCAATGGATGTTTTTAATCCCGTATACAATAATATGTAGGCTATAACGATACATATTCAGCTGCACCGTGTATTGGGTTAACAAGAATATCGTCTCAGTGACAATACTGATTTTAAAAAATATTTAAAGGTACATTACTTACAATTAAGTTATTGTGCGTCTTGCTTTCATATCCATCGGTCGAGGATTTCCTCAGAGGTGGTGGATCGCGCAACTAAGCTCTACTGATTCGATAGCCAGATGCGTTTTATCGGACTTGGTTCATTGTAGACCGCAGGTAAATTTTACTGAATACATTTTTGTTGAATAATTTTTCAAATAATTTTTGTTCCTTGTTTATCTGTTGATTCCGGAGCCCCTTGGTGGCCGACTTGGCTCCTATGCGTCGCATAACGCTGCCGAATACCCCCCCCCCCCCATCGCTGTGCCCTTGGGGTAATGCCTCGTTAACGCCATCGCCGCCACTGCCAGGGTCTGCACTGTGCCGGCCAAGGAGCAGCACCAGGGCTCGAGTACCCACAGAGCTGTTCTGAGCCGAGGGGCTCTGTAGGATTTGGACCCCTGATGTGTCATTCCCATTGGCATGGCCCACTGCTTCCCTCCCCAGCTCTCCCTGCCGGCAGTCTGAGCTCTGAAGTGATCATAAACGTAAAAATAAACATTACGTTTTGTGTTGCCGTGCGCTAAATCAGGGTCATGAGACTTATTTTCATCTGGAGGCAGGATTATTATGCTTACAGCTGTAGGCCATGCGCATATATTACATACTATGCACATATAAGGCTTTCCTGGGTTAACAAGCGTAAATGAGTGATTGAACTAAATATTTATTTTACGAGCAACATGTGCAGTAAGACCTCTGGTGGGCATAATGGGGGAACAGACTTTCCGGTTATGGTGATGTGCAAACATACTTCATAAATGAATAAATAGGACAATATCCTAAATTCAAAACTTTTACTTATTTAAACACAAGTTCTATCTATATAACAATAACTTGGTTGACATAATGAGCGAAATATTGAAAATGTAATGGTGCAAAAAAACTATTTGTAGCTACTGGTTCATCTTATTCACTTACCATGGCCATGAAGCAGAGGTGCAAGGCCGATGTGTAAAGCTGGAGAGCGATGAGCCAGAATGTGTTTTCTGATGGGCATAAAGGATTTTATTTAGAAAATGTCTGTAAATAAATCTTCAAATGTAAAAAAATTAAACCCAGAAAGCACCGGGCAGAACGCGTAGTGTGTCAAAAGTTGCATGGGTTCACCTATTTACACACAACATATACAGTGAGGGAAAAAAAGTATTTGATCCCCTGCTGATTTTGTACGTTTGCCCACTGACAAAGAAATGATCAGTCTATGATTTTAATGTTAGGTTTATTTGAACAGTGAGAGACAGAATAACAACAAAAAAATCCAGAAAAACGCATGTCAAAAATGTTAGAAATTGATTTGCATTTTAATGAGGGAAATAAGTATTTGACCCCCTCTCAATCAGAAAAATGTCTGTCTCCCAGGTGTCTTTTATACAGGTAACGAGCTGAGATTAGGAGCACACTCTTAAAGGGAGTGCTCCTAATCTCAGCTTGTTACCTGTGTAAAAGGCACCTGTCCACAGAAGCAATCAATCAGATTCAAACTCTCCACCATGGCCAAGGCCAAAGAGCTCTCCAAGGATGTCAGGGACAAGATTGGAGACATACACAAGGCTGTAATGGGCTACAAGACAATTGCCAAGCAGCTTGGTGAGAAGGTGACAATAGTTGGTGCGATTATTCGCAAATGGAAGAAACACAAAAAAACTGTCAATCTCCCTCGGCCTGGGGCTCCATGCACGATCTCACCTCGTGGAGTTGCAATGATCATGAGAACGGTGAGCAATCAGCCCATAACTGCACGGGAGGATCTTGTCAATGATCTCAAAGCAGTTAGGACCATAGTCACCAAGACAACAATTGGTAACACACTACGCCGTGAAGGACTGAAATCCTGCAGCGCCCGCAAGGTCCCCCTGCTCAAGAAAGCACATATACATGCCCGTCTGAAGTTTGCCAGTTAAGATCTGAATGATTCAGAGGACAACTGGGTAAAAGTGTTGTGGTCAGATGAGACCAAAATGGAGCTCTTTGGCATCAACTCAACTCACCGTGTTTGGAGGAGGAGGAATGCTGCCTATGACCCCAAGAACACCATCCCCACCGTAAAACATGGAGGTGGAAACATTATGCTTTGGGGGTGTTTTTCTACTAAGGGGACAGGACAACTTCTCCGCATCAAAGGAACGATCGACGGGGCCATGTACCGTCAAATCTTGGGTGAGAACCTCCTTCCCTCAGCCAGGGCATTGAAAATGGGTCGTGGATCGGTATTCCAGCATGACAATGACCAAAAACACACGGCCAAGGCAACAAAGGAGTGGCTCAAGAAGAAGCACATTAAGGTCCTGGAGTGGCCTAGCCAGTCTCCAGACCTTAATCCCATAGAAAATCTGTGGAGGGAGCTGAAGGTTCGATTTGCCAAACGTCAGCCTCGAAACCTTAATGACTTGGAGAAGATCTGCAAAGAGGAGTGGGACAAAATCCCTCCTGAGATGTGTGCAAACCTGGTGGCCAACTACAAGAAACGTCTGACCTCTGTGATTGCCAACAAGGGTTTTGCCACCAAGTGCTAAGTCATGTTTTGCAGAGGGGTCAAATGCTTATTTCCCTCATTAAAATGCAAATCAATTTATAACATTTTTGACATGCGTTTTTCTGGATTTTTTGTTGTCATTCTGTCTCTCACTGTTCAAATAAACCTACCATTAAAATTAGACTGATCATTTCTTTGTCAGTGGGCAAATGTACAAAATCAGCAGGGGATCAAATACTTTTTTCCCTCACTGTAAGTACAGTACACGTTTACGGCTTTAGAATTGCATGTGCACATAGACATACCACCACCTTCTGTGCACAGATAATTCGTTTAATTTGAATTTATTTCAAATGTACATTTTTAAGTTTTAATCCTTACAAAAAGGAATTGCTTTCGTAACTTTCCACTTTGTGATTTGACACTGGCAAGACTCAAAATGTCACAGCATGCATCTCGTTTCCGTGTTGACCCACGGCATCGTACCTGATTCTGAAACGTCTGACTGCTCAAACGGTGAATCCCAACTCCAGAGTCTGGGATCTGTCAGGTTGGGTTGCCACGGGAACGCAGACTACTCCCAGCGCCCATGGATACAAGGCAGTGTGGTATAGAACAGTTTAGTGTAAAGTATTGTTTTTATTTAAATAATTATTTGAATATAACATAACATTGGGGAGGGGTGGGGAAATCCATCTGTTTTATATGTTCATTGTTGCAAAAATCCAAGCAGCCATAAGATGTTCCACTATCATAAAATATGAATTGGGAAATTGTTGCTCAAATATAAACAATCGTATAAAAAGCTTGACTTAAAGCTTTCGTGACTGCAGGAATTAATATGCTTTGGGTTTTTCGCTAAGTCACGTAGATAGGCTCCTGATGACGATCGCTTGTGTTGTGATTGAAGCGTCGTAGATTTTGTTTCTTATTAATTTAAACCTTTCTACGTGACTTTACCGAAAGAACCAAAGAATAATCGTATAAAAAGTCTAAAAACGTAAAGCAAAATGTATTGTTATCAGAACTATTTTTGTCTTCTGCTATGCTGTTGACATCTTTAATAACGTGTAAAATGTTCTTCATAATGTTTTACAGCAAATTGGAATTGACAAGGGAGACATTCCGGACATTGCACAGGTGCGTACACATTGCTTTGCTACAGAGAAAGGATACTGACATTTTTTTTTACTTCTCAGAGCTAAAAATGTATCCAAATTAAATGAAAACCAAATTTTGCGTTTTTTTATTTTTTTTGCAGTAATATGTGACTAAACAACACTTGAGAACTTTGTGCCCGAGCACAGGAGATTCTTAGGCAGGCTGCAATTTCAGTACGATCCTAAACATCCTAAGAGAAAATGTATCATAAGTCAAAGTAAATATCGATGTTGCAGTGAGATCATAACTCTCACTCGTGGAAGAGCTGTTGCTATGGATTACATCATCGCTCCTACTCCACCAGCCAATCGGCTGCCAGAAAGACAACCCAGCGCCCATACAACATCATACCTGCCAACCCATATGGTTTACCATATTCTTGTAAAGGAAAAGTGAGTTTTGAGGTCCTTACGGCTTACAGCTGTTTCAATACGGGCAAAGGAAAAAGTGTATTTGTTTGTTTATCCCTTGTGATGGGACTTTCTAGGATGAATGGTTGAGATTTACAAGGGCATGGGGTGACCAATAAGGTCTTAATTGGTCGGTAATAAGGTCGGCACTGATGAGGGGTTGACATGTATGCAACATGGCTGACATGACATCATCGGCACTTCGGGTGGCCTGTGACTGAGGTGTTTATATTATTAACAGTATTAATGTTGGTAATATTAATTATTACCCCTGCCACCCCAACTCGAAACGTTTCGGATGACAAATTATAGGGAAACATCCCTTGGGGTGTTTGTGAAACTGCTCACTGGGGGTTTCCATTGTCAGTTGGAAGTTCTCAACTAAGCCACGTTCCTAACTAATATAGCTCATGCCTGCAGAGCTGTGTTTAACGAGAACATTGTGAATACAGCGAAGGAGGAGGCGTGCCGGGAGATGGTCGGCAAAATATTCATTACTTAACGTCAAATACCGTCATCGTCGATATTTTTTAAGCTATTTTAAAAGGTACGTTTTGGCTACCTGCCAAAACATGTTCCGCATGAGGTGACCGTGAACTGCCGGGTAAAGTTTGTAGCGCCGCACAAGTTATATTCCAGCCCTTTATCCAACTGTTTAAGTCCACCGGGGCAGCAACGCTGCCCAGTGGTAGTAGTAGCGCATATTCTTGGTTCTTTAGGTAAAGTCACGTAGATATAATTTTTTTATTATAAATAAATAAAAAATTAAAGCAAAAAACCATGACGTTTCGATCACAACACAAGTGGTCTTCAACAGGCGGAGAGAAAAGAGGGGGCAAGCCTCCAAATGCAACTGCTTATAAGGGCTTTCAAAGTGAGCAAAGCTGTATGGCGTAAACAGCATGGGCGGGGCAGCCAGTGTTAATGTAGGAGCAAAGCACTAGAAGTAGGAATAAAACGAGTGTGTTAGACAATGGGGGGAGGAGGGGGTAGAGATAGGGGAGAGAGGGGCGGGTTTTAGAGATAGAGGTGGAGCTGAAGGTGAGGGCACAGTCCAAGTGTGTTCGACAATGGGGGGAGGAAGAGGGTAGAGATGGGGGGTGGTTAGACATAGGGGGAGAGAGGGGGGTAGAGATTGGGGGGGGGGGGGCATTGCACCTCGCTACACCCATCCACACTGCTGATGGTAGAGGTTGACAAGAAAACACAAATCAAGTCATGACCCAAAGTGGTTGATGGCATCTTTCCAATGATTTCTGAGTTGAATACCATCATCTCGGTTGAAAATCTGTCTATCTGTATATATGGATGGCTTCATGAACGAATCTTTGTTGATAGCCATTTGGCTTGCAAAGTACCATTGTCTTAGATCACGTGAGCCAGCCGCATTAAAGTAATGATCAGCCACAGCACAAGTATTGGTCCTGCCTTGTTTAAGATCTGCCTTGTGTTCACGAACACAGTCCGAGACTTGTTGTTTAGTTTCCCCAAATGTAACTGCCGCTGCAGATACAGCTTAGTTTGTAGATGCCGGGATATTGCATGTGTAGTGAGTCCAACTGAGTCGCAGATGTTGTCTTGGGAGCAACACTTACATCAACTCAACACAACATAACGTAACCTCCACTCGGGTGTGGTTAGATGGGTGTTGAACACTCATAGATGGGTGTTGAACACCCATCTAACCACGCTACGGCAGAACAAGACATGGTCCCCCTATCCCGGTCCAGACCACGAGCTGGGTCCCGGACCATGTAGCTAGAGGCTTCTTCAACCCGATGCGGATCTTCTTCACCAACAACCCGAAGAACCCCAAGCCCCACACGGGGGCCCCCGTTATATTGGGCCAGGCTGGGTCTGGCTCCGCCTTTCGCCCCGCCCACCTTCTAGATCTCTCGAGTTCTTTCCCGAAGGTGCCCGAGAGCTCTTCTATACCACGTGACCACTCGGTGGCCCCCCTCCAATATCACCCGGTCTTGTGTCGGCAGGTCAACCAGCGTATCATGCCCCAAAGTAGCCATGGCTGGCTGACACTCTCTTGCTCTCTCACGGGGAGCCCATACCGCACACTGTACGTGTGCCTCTGCACTAACCAGCGCTCACCCAAGCCCCGCTAGGGCTGGTATTATGCCAAGTAACCGGGCTGCACATAATGACGACACATTATCCGCCTTGGCCTCGCAAGCCCGGCACCACACAGTAGAATTTACAGTCACTACACATGTCAGGAATTTTGTCCTTCACAGATGGGATCAGATCACGAATTTTATGCACTGTTAAATTTAATCTGGATCTTGTGTTTGTTCAAGATTTTGGAAATCTTTTTGGTTATCCCTGCTATGTAAGTTAAGGTGATGAATTTGATTGGATCTTCAGATTGCTCCTTCCTCACGGTTGCGGCGATGGCTTTGTGGATTGTGTAGTCAGAATATACATTCGCCCTGAGCTTGGTGTACGTGTCTGAGTTCACTGGTTATGTGTTCATGGTTGTAGATACATGGAGCTCTATGGTGTAGCGTTTTGATGAGGGACTTATTCTGGGATGGATGGTGGTGGGAATCAGGTTTTAGGTAGGCATCAGTATGGGTTACTTTCCTGTTGACAGAATGGCTCATTGAGCCATCTGGTCTATTTTTGATTAAGGCATCCAAGAAAGGTAGCATGCCATCCTTTTCTACCCCCATGGTGAATTTGATTGCTGGATGTATGAAATTGATGTGGTTGAAAAATTGTTTCGGAGCCGCAAAAAATATTTCCATAATCTTGAACAAACACAAGATCCAGGTCCGATTTAACACGGTGCATAAAATCCGTGATCTGATCGCATCTGTGAAGGACAAGATTCCTGACATGCAATATCCCGGCGTCTACAAACTAAGCTGTATCTGCGGCAGCAGTTACATTGGGGAAACTAAACGACATGTGAAGCAATTGGCGGGACCCCGGGGTCCCATCACTGCCCCGGGGTGGGAAAAACCGTGATTGACAATAGTTTTGTTGCCTTACCGACAACAAAACTATTGTCAATCGATTGGCCTCGTCGAGAGCTACTCGGGGCACTAAGTTTCGTAAAAAGTTGAAAAATTACATGAACACGTTAAATTCACTGCGGAGGCGGGCTCGCCTTGGCAAAGAAGCTGAGGATCGACGGCTGACCGGAGGGCGTTGTCGCAGCGCGCAACTGCGGCGGACGCCCGGGCTTGCGTTTGGCCGGTGGGGTGGTGCCCATCGTGTTGATCGCCGCCTGCTGGCGCTTGTTGGCGCGAGTTTGGGCGGGCGGCGCGTTGCTGTCGGGATCACGAGTGGGCGGACTGAAAAATAATAATTATTGACCTGATTTTTGCGGGACCCTGGGGTCCTGCCAAATGATTCATGTCTCGGACCGTGTTCGTGAACATAAGGCAGATCTGAAACACGGCAGGACCAATACTTCTGCCTTGGCTGATCATTACTTTAATGCGGCTGGCTCACGTGAAGTTGATTTCTCTAAGACGATGGTACTTTGCAAGCCGACTGGCTATCAACAAAGATTCATTCACAAAGCCATCCATATTTCCAGACACAGACACAATTTCCACTGAGACAAAAGTTTAAACTCGGCATTCATTGGAAAGATGTCATCAACCACTTTGCGTCATGACTTAAGTTGTGTTTTCTTACTCTTTGTTTTTTTCGGTAAAGTCATATAGGTAAAATAAATGAAAACAACCAAATTAAATCACGACGTTTCGTAGGCAACACATGCTTCCGTCTTCAGGTGGGAACCGTCAAAGCAAAATTGCTGTATAAAGTGAAGAGAGCTCTAAGATACCCGAGATTATATACAGGTTAGGGGGGGGGGAGGAGCCAGGAAGGGCCGTGGCGGAGGGCTAAGTTATGCCGCCTTTTGTTATGCTGCAGGGGGTTAGGGGGACGGAGAGGCGATGGCGAGTGGTTGTCGAAAACGAGCGCAACCAACTGGAAGAAATGGAAATGGCTGTACAATAATAAGGCATCTAAAGTTTGATTTGGTTGATGACATCGTTCCAATGATTGCTCAATTTAAAACCATCCTCTCGGTTGAAGTTGTGTCTATGTTTGTACATCTGGATGGCTTCATGGACAAATCTTTGGTAGTTTTCGGGAGGTTTGCAGAGTACTTTGGTATCGGAGAAAACAATATCATGAGAACCCACTGTATTGAAACAATGATCAGCTACGGCCGAAGAATTCGTTCTACCGTGTTTCAAATCTGATTTGTGCTCGCAAATTCTGTCAGAAATATTCAAATCTAGAACAGAAATGTCGTTTCGTCTCCCCGATATAGCAGTCACCGCAGGTACAACTCAATTTGTAAACACCGGGGTACTGTAAGTCAGGAATGATATCCTTTACGGATGGGATCAGATCACGGATTTTGTGTACTGTATTGAACCGGACCTGGATCGTGTTTATTTAGAATTTTGTAAACAATTTTGGTAATGCCTGCTATGCATGGCAACGTGATGATTTTGATCGGAGTATCAGGTGGTTGTTTCTGTATGGTGGGAGAAACACCTTGGCGGATAGTACAGTCAGAGTATCCGTTCATCTTGAGGGCCAGATGTACATGTTTTAATTCACTGGCCAGGTAGTGTTGGTCAGAAATGCAATGAGCCCTATGGTATAGTGTTTTGATGAGGGAATTATTTTGAGCCGGGTGGTGGTGGGAATCAGGCTTCAAGTAGCAATCTGTGTGGGTGGCCTTCCTGTAAACAGAATGTCCCAAAGAGCCATCAGGCCTCCTCTCAAATAGAACATCCAAGAATGGCAGCTTGCCATATTTCTCCACTTCCATGGTGAATTTGATGGATAGGTGTCTGGAATTGATGTGGTCTAGGAAATGGTTCAATTCTTGGGAGGCCATGTGGCCAAATGACGAAAGTGGCATCCACATATCTCTTCCAAAGGGAAGGACGAAGGATGGATGTCTGGATGGTGTCTGATTCAAACTTCTCCATGAAAACATTGGCTATCACTGGTGACAAGGGGGGACCCATAGGGTTACCCTCATTTTATTTGTAGAAGGTACCATTCCAGGTAAAGTAAGTGTTGGTGAGGCAGTGCCTAACCAGCACAGGTACATCGGGGTTCAGTCCATGTTGGACCAAGTCTTCAATTATTGTTATGGTGTCAGGCACTGGGGCCTTGGTGAACAGAGAGACCACATCAAAGTTGACGAGGATATCGTCAGGAGACAGTACAATGTCCTTGACCATAAAAACCAATTGGGTTGAGTTAAGTACTGCTGAGGTGGTCTTGCCAGAAACAACCACCTGATACTCCGATCAAAATCATCACGTTGACATACATAGCAGGCGTTACCAAAAAGATTTCCAAAATTCTAAACAAACACAAGATCCAGGTCCAGTTCAATACAGTACACAAAATCCGTGATCTGATCCCATCCGTAAAGGATGTCATTCTTGACTTCCAGTACCCCGGTGTTTACAAATTGAGTTGTACTTGTGGTGACTGCTCTATCGGGGAGACGAAACGACTATTTCTCACCAAATTCGCGAGCTCAAGTCAGATTTGAAACACACGCACAACAAATTCTTTGTCCGTAGCTGATCATTGTTTCAACATAGCAGGTTCTCATGATATTGTTTTCTCCGATACCAAAGTACTCTGCAAACCTCCCGGATACTACCAAGATTTTTCTATGAAGCCATCCAGATATACAAACATAGACAACTTCAACCAAGAGGATGGTTTCAAATTGAGAAATCATTGGAAAGATGTCGTCAACCGAGTCAAACTTTAGGTGCCTCATAATTGTACAGCCATTTCCATTTCTTCCAGTTGGTTGCGCTCGTTTTCAACAACCGCTCGCCATCGCCTCTCCGTCCCCCTAACCCCCTGCAGCATAACAAAAGGCGGCTTAACTTAGCCCCCTCCCCACAGCCCTTCCTGGCTCCTCCCCCCCTTAACCTGTATATAATCTCGGGTATCTTAGAGCTCTCTTCACTTAATACAGCTTTTTGCTGTGATGGTTTCCACCTGAAGACGGAAGCTTGTGTTGCCTCCGAAACGTCGTGATTTTATTTATTTGTTTTTATTTATTTTATTTTACCTACGTGACTTTACCGAAAAAAGCCAAAGTATATGAATCCTTACAGTCATGAAAGCTTCAAATCTATAATTGTGTTTTCTTGTCAACCTCTATCGTCTGCAGTGTGGATGGGTGTAGCGAGGTGCAATGCCTCCCCCCCACCATCTCTACCCCCCCCTCTCTCTACCCTCTCCCTCCCCCCATTGTCTAACACACTCGCTTTATTCCTACTTCTAGTGCGTGAAAGCCTTTATAAGCAGTTGCATTTGGAGGCTTGCCCTCTCTTTTCTCTCCGCCTGATGAAGACCGCTTGTGTTGCGATCGAAACGTCATGGGTTTTTTGCTTTTATTTTTTAAATTTAATTTATTTTTTATTTTCTATCTACGTGACTTTCCCGAAAGAACCAAGAATATGAATTCCTGCATTTAGGAAAGTTTTAAGTAAAAAAAAGTAGTAGCACATTTACCTCCTTGTTAGGAGGTTCACGGTTTGAGTCCAGCAGCCACCCTGGTTATTACTGCGATGTGTGTCGTCGTCGCCATGATGACACTACGCGCCGTCTGCTTTACAGCAGACGTTAAATATTCCCCAACGTTCTATGCCAGGGTCCAAATTTAAACGTTACACTACAAATTACTCAGTTTTGGTCGTTTATGCTGGTTCTGTCTTATTTCCTGCTTTCCATACATGGTGTGTTGGGATCCTTTGAAATGCACCTTACAAATGTAAATTATCATAATTAAATTACTCATTTGGGATTACTCAAAGGCATTATTGTCCCCTATTGGTAAAGGAATGCCCCAGGTCACTTTTTGATGAGCTTATCTTTTTTGAGTTCTCACTTGGTTAAACAAAATATACAAGAGCCTGCGTTTTCAAATTGCCCTGGCTTTTGTGTGAAAATAACCTGGCTGATTACAAAAGTGTTTGTACTTGTGGCCACAGAGTGATGGAAGTGCAAAAATGCTAAGTATGCTTCATCAACGGTACATCCTGCTCTTTGGATAAAACTTCTCACATCGGTGCTTGGAAGTAACGGCCAAGGAAAAATTGTCACTTACTGCAAGCTTGTGAAATGGAGGTCACCGATGTGTGGGTGGGTGTGCTGGCCTAGAGGTGGTGTCACGAGTCTGTATTATCATATCCTAGCCATTAAATTATTTTGCATTTAGATATTTTTTTTACAAATGTTTTGCCAATTTTGTCACTAAATTAGGACGGGAGGGGCAGCAGTGGTTAACACCGGCGCCTCACACCAAGAGATCCCTGGGTTTGATTCGCCACTCTGTGTGGAGTTTGTATGTTCATCTCCCCCTGTTCTGCAAGGGTTTCCTCCCAGGTTCTCTGATTTCCTCCTTAAGCTGAAATTGAAAAAAAAACTAAAGAGCCATACATTTTTAACTGGTATTGGCCAATAAATCCCAATGCTGAAATGATCAGCAAGATTACTCAATTGGGGATTATACGCAGCAGCAACATCGCCCTCTTCTGCAATAACGTGGCAGGATCCTACAAAAAAAAGTCTTGATTCGCAGTTGAGGCTTTTTTGGGTAAACACATGGAACAATGATAATAATGACAAAACATGAGATTCATTCTTTAGGAGGCAGCATCAATCACAGAATGGCCCTGGAAGAGTTCATCATTGCACTGCTTCTCTAGGAATCGGTTCAAATGGCCACACTTACCCCTCCTCTGCATGGCCGTCCTACTTGCTATGCAAAGGGCGGGTTGGTTTGTGTCAATCTGCAGATAACGCAAATATGTTAACCCACAAATTACATATTTTGTGCCGAAGTGTTTATAGTCGCAAGTGACTGAGCGGAGGCTATCAAACTTGCGGCACTTGGAGCTCGTTAGCTCCCGGTTTCCCTACATTTTAAATGCAGGATGTCAGTGAAGGTGATTCCAACGTGGTGCGACATGGCCATTTAAAGCCCTCCAAGGCACCCAACAACTTTACAATAATTTTATACCTAAAGGGATTAGAAGAGACTGTCTATGAATGTGCACGCTGTATAAAGATATCTTATTGCCTTACTTTGTAAAAACACTTTTTTTTAAAGGACCAATTAACGGTCTGTAAGCTAATGGGTACATTTACCCAATTTGTGCTCGTGTTGTATCGGTGTAAAAAAAAAAGTGTTCCTTAAAATCAGTGCATGGATTAATGTGAGTCGATGTGTTCCATGCAAAGGTATTGTCCACACAAGTCCTGCATGATCTGAAACTCCATGGGGAAAAGGAGTCCCCCTTTAAAGAGCTGACCTTTGAAACGGTAATATTAGTGGCACTTGTGCCAATCCGCTGTAGATTTCTGATGCTTTGCTCCTTTTGCTGGCTGTGCATATAAATAGGTGGCCCTTCAAACTCTCCCCCCCCCCCCCGCATTCCCATACATATGCTTGGTGTTGGCAGCAATCTTGCCTGCGGTGAGTGGTCCGCAGTGGCGTGGCCGAGTCGCCCACCTGTAGATGGGTCCGCTCACTCCCGAACCATTTCCATCCTGAGATTTAAAAAATTTAATTTCCCACGTGCCTTCAAATGGCAGTGCCTTGGAGGCTGCGTTGCACCATCTTGCCAGAAACATTTCCCTTGTTATTAGAAAAAAAGCCGCATGGGTAACTGTTTAACCATTCTGAAAGTGACATAAGCAACAAAATAAAGGGATGTTTTACTGAATAAAACCAAAGAGTATGAATTCTTGCAGTCACGAAAGCTTCAAATCTAAAATAAAGGGAGCTTTAATGATGACTCAAGGGGGTGTGTGACAAGATTCTAAATTAATGTCCCATGTCTGATTCTCTCTTTGTGTCTCTCTCTGTCTTAATCTGTCTCTCTCCATCTCTTTTCACCCCCCCCCTCTCCTTGTTTCCATCTGTGTTTATCTATTTCCCTGATCAAGGCTCTCTTCACGTACCTTCATCTGTATTTCCCTTTCCTTTTATAACATCGCCACCACTTGCACCAAACCCAAACTCTCAGTAGCTCTTCCTGTTTATGTGGCTCACACGTAGAGGCACTAGGACTCCCCGTCGGGATCCCAACTTTACGATAAATCCCAGGGGACGAGCAGAGCCAGGGTTTTTGAGACTTACTGTCGTCCTTCACCAGTCGGGGCATTAAAGTAGCCCCAAATCCTGAGACCTTGTCACAGGAGTTGGTAGGAAACCTCCTGTAATTGAGTAGATCCGGCTGGTGTGGTGCTCGGGGGGGTCTGGCTGGCGCAGTGCTCGGGGGGTCCCGCTGGCGCGGTGCTCGGGGGTCGGGGGTCCCCCTGGCGCGGTGCTCGCGGGTCGGGGGTCCCGCTGGCGCGGCGCGGTGCTCGGGGGTCGGGGGTCCCGCTGGCGCGGTGCTCGGGGATCGGGGGTCCCGCTGGCGCGGTGCTCGCGGGTCGGAGGTCCCGCTGGCGCGGTGCTCGGGGGTCGGGGATCCCGCTGGCGCGGTGCTCGGGGGACCGGGTTGTAATGTGTCATCACGACAGGTGCTCTGTGCTCCTCACAGTATTTTATTTAATGATTAATTAATTTTTATTGAGATTTACATCCATTATTGTGGGTACATTTAGCGTGAGTGTATGAGATGAGAATAGGTTCTGGCAGTATTAATTTGGCGATAGTGGCAGTGATGTCTACAAAAAACGAGTTTTGTATGAGGATTCTGAAACGTTACATTTCTCTCTGTCTCCTTGTCCATGTTCCGCTCGTTTCTGTTGGTTTCCATGCAAGTCTGCGTTTTCCATGTCCTCTGTTTCTTTATCTTTGTCTCTCCTAGCTCTTTGTATCCGTGTGCCTGTCTCAGGTTTTTGTTTTCCCCTATGTCATTCTTTCCACTCCATGCATCTCTCCCCTGCTCATTTTCCTGCCTATACACAGCATGCTGTAACAAATCCAGACAAGCTCTTCAGCAACCCTTCCTGGCTTTGATGATGATGCAGGCTTCTACTCTTTGTCACAACGCAGTGCCTTCACCTCGTCTTAAACCAAAGTAATTCGTGTGTCTCCTGGCAGCATCCTGGCAGCCCGCTCTGCAGTCTTACTGTGATCCCTGCCCGGTGCTACCCACCGGATGAGGATTATTATCACCCTTAGTCGGTGCCAAACTTTGCCCACAGTGATCAGCGGGGAGGGTCTGTTCACACAAAGCCCTCGAGGCCTAATGCAGCAGTCTGCAATGATGGCTACATTGTGCTGATGAATCCTAACAAGGACGAAACTGACATACAGTAGTCTCATGGTCCTGCTGCTGTTTCAATTAGTATGCTCAGTTTTGAAACTTTCGAATTGGTGTCTAAAACAAATACTCTGTATTTTTACATGCAGTATGGTGATGCCATGTGGCACGTAAGCCATGATGAGAGGACCGATGTAATGGTGACACTCGTGCTTTTGCTGCATAATATTATCACTTCTCTTATTTGCATCCAGCCTGCACGCAGCTTTTGGCCTGATGAATACCTCATTTACATAAAGAGTAAAAATGTTGTGCTACAGTGAACCAATTGATTTATCTTATTTCCTATAATGCCCCACATACTTAAACAGGTTTTGTGTAACTTTAAGGGCGATTTTGCCCTGTTACTCCTGCCATAATACCGTGTAATTTTATATATCTGGTTGAAGGCTACCAATGGAAATTAGCATCACCCCATTTATCATTTGACCAGGGGAGATGCTTTGACTTGAACGTAGGGAATACTCAAGTCGGGTCTAGATATCACTTGCCACTGGGGGATATAAATAGCTTGTGGAAAAAACATAATCTGCTTCTGGGATCACGTGACTACTCCCCCGTATGGATACACACGTCTGCATGTACGCGCGCGCACAGGCGTGCACCGACAATCCAGTCTGCAGCTCTCAGAACGTCAGCTCTGCTTATGGGCCGTTGCACTGAGCTTGTAAGAAAAAAACACTTTTATTGTTACATATGTGATCAAGGAAATGCAGTGATTACCAAGACACTTTTTTTTTACCCAGGAGAGCCTCACTGAGTCTCAATTTTTTTACAAATGTGTCTTGCCTGCTTGGATAATTGGCTCAAGCTTATGAGCATTTTCATTGCGTTTTATAGAGATTCAAAGACTGCATCGATACAACCCCCAGGTGTACAAGGTGGTGGGGGGGGGGAAATGCAAACTCCATACAGATCAGAAAGCTACTTGCTGTACTACCTTCAACATAGGTGCTGCAGTGCCCTGTCTTATGCTCGTGATCTCAACACAATCTACAAACTCCTGCCTCCAAATCAGAGGATCAAAGGTGCTCTCCACCACACCCAGCTGTGTCACCAGTTCTCTTTTTGGAGCTGTGTGATTTTAGAGCAAATCGGACAATAATTATTTACCCAAAAATAAATAAATAAATAAATGTGGATTTCCCGAAGTTTGGCAAATTTCACAATATTCTCAGGAGAATATATAGAGCTGAGAGCTGAGAATGTTGAGGTCCTAGTTTTGGATTATGAATGTGGCACTGGGGTTGAATGCTAGGCGTCCAAGCAGTGAATTTGATTACACTATGTAACACGATTTTTATTCCTGGGTAGTAAGTGTTATTTCCTAATTGCGTATGCCTCAAAAGTATAGAAAATTGCTATTATTCTCCACAAACTTTGCTTTTGTGACCAGGAATTTATGTGAAGGCATAACACAAATACACACCACGTTTTCTCATTCAAAATAGGTAAATTTCTAAATATTACTGGCCTGGTCACAAAAGCAAAGTTTGGGGAATAAGCCATTTTCTGTGCTTTTGAGGCATAAGCAATTGGAAAATAACACTACACAGTGTTATCTCGCTCGCTTCCAAACAAATACTCGGGAATTACTTTTTTTATTTGGTTGCCACTTAGAGCTCGTCATCTCCTTTTTGTGTGAACATACATTTATATATAATGTAGATACAACTGTATGTGACTCGGTATTAACAACTCAACACACGAGCAACAGACTTAACGCACAAAATTTAAAATGACTTGGAGAAACCCAACTCAAATATTTATATATTTATAATAGATATATAGTCACAGGCCAACAAAGATTGGGATGAAAATCACGAAAACAAGAGGTTATTCAAGAGAAGCAGGGTGCAGCGCTTTTGTAAATCTGAAAGTGATTCATGATTGGCATGGTTGGCTACGTGCGGTGTGAATTAAGTTCTACATATATACATATACTGGCCAGGGTTACCTGAGAGGGATCTTTTTCAATGGGTGCACTTTGATAGGGGTGCCATAGTGATAACAAACATGGACACTGGCAGAGAAAATGTTTTATCTCAAAAAGTTTACAAAGAAGCACGGAGATGCACAAGCTTGGAATTGCATGGAGGTGTGAGCATATCCATTGTGGAACAAATGCACCTCGATCAATGTATTGATTGCCAGGAAAAACCTATGGCTTGGGTGGAAACAGGTGGCCAAAGGAAGGGAGTAATAGTCGATGAATGAGGGCAGGGACAGAATTGGCAGCCGAAGAAAGAAAACACTGCCCTTGAGTGGACGACCAGCGCAGCAATGGAGAGGTGACCTCGCCTCGTGTGCAGGAGTTAAATGCTCTGTGGGAGGTGGCACCCGGAGGCCTCCATTCAGCAAGGGAAGGGATAGACGAGAGCTGATTAATGCTCATGACGCAGAGAGCTAACATTCGCGTAAGTGGCCCAGAGGAGCCACCATCTCGATGCTGTGGCTAACGGCTGCTGCTGCTGCTGTTTGCGAGGCGGCTGATGAGCATCTCCCCGTGATCCTTGCAGTGTCTCTGGAAGTTCGGACTGTGCACTATATATGTATGTTGAACTTCCTTCATATCGTACGTAGTCGACCGTGCTAATCAGAGGTGTGGGGGGAAGGACAACAAACTAAAAACGACAACAGGCACTGTGGGATCGGGGCGGAGAGGGGAAGCTTCTCTACACTGTTTTATTCTCGTATGGATTTTACCACTGAGAGGTCGGATAAAAAAAAACATTTCCGTTTTATTGGTTAAATTGATTATTTAAAAATCAATACTGAATTTAGTTTTAAGCTTCTCTTCAGAAAGTTGTATAGATTTCTTTAGAGTTGTCCATATTTTCTAGGATGCTAGAATGACGATAAAGCCATGCGTGGAAGGGAGGACGCTAAAACGCAACGCGCACACCGACTGTCCACGTGACACTTGCTCCGCTGCCTTTTGCTTGGTTGCCTGCGGGTGCTTTTGTAACAGACAGGGGGTGGCTCCATCTCTACACGCTGTATCAACTCTCCTTGTCGTTTGACTCCATTACAGACATTGTGACTGCACAGGGCAACAGCCTTGACTTGAGCTCTCCATGCTTGTGTTGTTGCCTGTGCGCATGTGGCTGGGACGTGCCCACGGTCTGTGTGTGTGCTTAGGCGCCCAGCTCTCTCCTAGAAGCCATGGAGCAACACGTCGCCATCCAGGAGGCTAAGAAAGGGAAGGATGGATCCACAGGCAGGTAGGAAAGCCGCCTGTGTTTTTAACGTTGCACACTGTGCACACCTTGACAAATGCGTCTTGATGATGTACGTATGCATTTTTAACTTCTTTCGCACCGCACATAGCCAACCGTGCTAATTGGAGGTGCGGGGGAAGAACAACACACTAAACACAAAAAAGCAGTTCTAAAGAAATTAGTTTTCAATCTGGATGATTTAAAAGTGCATAGCTCCGGTGGCTTCCTAATATTGGAAGGAAGAGAGTTCTAGGTGACTGCAGAAGCGCATCCAAAAGTGCCGCGCGATAATGCAGTGACTGTCAGATGTGGCCGGGTCACTCGGAGGTCGTCTTGTGTTTCTCAAGTCAATGTGGTCCAGAATAAGTTGCGAAAGTATAATGAGTTGAGTATCTCAGCCTATTTGCGAATGTGCAAACCATTCGTTAGAGTAATTCCACTTAATTTTGGTATACCCCAACTCGGCGGTTACAATGTAACACGCACGTGAAGGATTGTCAGCACAACGATCGCTGATTGTGCACTCGTGGATTATCCCTTGCTCACATCTGAGGTGAGGTGTGAAGGGTGCCGCTGTGGCGAAATGTTAACTACCTCGCCAGGTATACAGGAAGTCGTGGGTCCGATCCCGACCCTAACGCTTGTTACATATTTGGAGTTTGCGTGTCTCTCTGCCCGGGGTCACGTGGATTTTTTTCCTGATTCTCCGGTTTTTCCCTCAAATTTAGAATTGAAATGTGTTTGGAGTATTATTTGGGTGCTATAAATGTCCACGTGATAAGCCACTTCGTTGAGATATCATTTGTAGCCAGGTCGCTTCTGAAAAAGAGATACATAGCTCAGTGGGCCTTACCTGGTAAAGTAAAAAATAGTTTAGTTCGTAGAGTGGGGCCCTGAATATTCTTCCTCCGCGTCAGGAAGAAGTGCGAAATATGGAGGATGCAGAGCACTTTGTGTACTGGGGTAGTCGTGCAATTCACACAAGGGGTTGTGACGATACGTTGAAGAAATAGCTGTGTAGTGTTTGTGGGCCAGAAATTTTATACTTGTAACCCACTTGTGGATATGAAGCTCCCATGATGTGTGTCTTACCATTTACGAATACTGCTAATACACACAGACTGTACCCACGTGGTCGTTTCCTGTTTGATTGACTGTGATCCTGTAGTCTCATAACTCGCTTTGAAGTAAGTGTGTGTGTGGCCTGATGGTATTGTGTTCACTTAAGCAGTTGAAGGCTCTTTAGTTATCTAATTACCAGTTAAAATGCATCCTACCAACCTTATGTGTCCGTGTTTGTGTGTAATTTGTGCTGCTTATGGCCATTGGTGGGATTACAGCATTGAAGGGTAAGCCACAGCACTATAACGATGCATTCATATTGTCTGTGGGGCATGATGCACGGCTGGAAGTGTCATTCAAATGTGACTAGTCTGCAGCAATACATTTCACAAGGAACTGTTTGGATCTTGGTTAAGCTAATTTGCATTGCTTATAAATCACCGCCACTTCTCCTGTACATTATCACCTGAAGCATCCTGTCGTATTACTGGCTATACAGCACACGAGGGCAGATTGCATCTGTACTCAGTCTTGATTGATTCTGCTAAATGTTGTCGGTACGGATGGCGTGTCTCCATGAAGGTCGGTGCCGAATTGGACTCGGGCTGCCACCATTGAAAGCATTTTTGTTCACTGTAGCCAGGCCTTCACTTCAATCGCGCTGGCCTCGGTAGTTGCCCCGTAGCGCATGTCCCACTGTGCTGTTGTGGTTGCTCATCTCTGAAGTGTGCGTAGCCCATTTTTAATTTGATGACGTGTTTGGCTGTGTGCTGAGGACCGCTCTCTTTTGTTATTCACTCCAGGGTGGCTAGTGGGGGCACAGGCGCCGCGGTGAGTGACAAAAAATCGTTAAACATTATACAATCTTGCTTAAATACCGTCCTTTATCCATACTGTGTTTAGCCACCAACATTGCAGGTCACAGCACTTCTCTCTGCCCTCGCACAGCTCCACTTTGGAATTTCCTCCCGTCGTCTGTTTTTCCTGAACCCTATAATAACCCTTGCTCAAGTCGAGAGATGCATTTTTTATTCTTCTCCATCACAACTTTCGATGGTGCTGTTTTTTGCTGATAGCCCCTTGCCATTCGAAGCCTTTGGGATTGTTCACGTCAACCATGGTTTAAAAACAAAAAAAAAACTGGGGTTGTTTTTTGAATAATTCTTTCACGATAGGCTCCAACTACATCATCTTCTCCGGTGAGCACCCCTGCCCAGAGCATCGATACGACCGCCGGGGGAGATGTTTTCTCGGCGAGCAGTGCACCACAAGTGACCAGGTGCATTCACACACACGCGGCGACACCCGGGTAACTCGGCGTGCTCGGACGATGATTCGGGCGGCAGGGTGGCACATTGCTTACGCTTGCCCCCCTCACGGGGCAGAAGGGACCTGGGTTCAATTCCCAATTGTGGTGGGTGCCTTTTCTGTGTAGATTGTGTATGTTCATCCCCTGTTCTGCATGGTGTTTCTTCCCAGAGTCTCCAGTTTCCTTCCATACCTAAACAAAAGACATTGTAGCTATTGGCCAAACATCCCGATGCTGGAAGGTTTTCTGCAAATGACTGTTTGGTTTAAACATGGCGACATTGCCTCCTACTGTGAAAACATGGCAGGAATAGAGTCTAAGACTCGGTGGAGGGTTTCCTGGGTAAACGAGCAAAGTATTAAGTTAAAAACCAGGCATGCACAATTGAGTCTGAGGAGTAAAAGTATGTGAGAAGGAAACCAGTTTGCCGAGGGATTTGAACCATGGATGAATGCGGTGAACGCGCATTCACACCCGCACAGGTGGACAAACGGCTAATGCCACTACTGCCTGCACGTGGAAGCATCGTGTTCTAGGCAGCTCCTACTTCAGCGCACGACCTATGTATGCATCGTGGTGGCTAGGAGATGTTCACTACCTCGCCTGGTATACAGGAGTTGGAGTTCGATTCCAACCCTGATGCCTGCTGTATATTTGGATTTTGCATGTCTTTCTCCCCATGGTCGTGTGGATTTTCCTCCGGGTCCTCTGGTTTTTCTCTCCACATTTTAGAAACGTGTATTTTAGAGTATTTGGCGGCTATAAATTCATAAGGCACTTAATTTGGTTATCATTTGTGGCCAGGTCGCTTCTGAAAAAGAGCTACAGGCATTCCCTGGGTTATGGAAGGGCCAGACTTACGGAAATCCGACTATATGGAAATGCTCCCATGAATAATGTTATAAAAAATTCAATACTGTTTGCGGTAATGTTTAAGTTTAGTTACGTAAGAGCAGATAGTGCGGTGAGGCGTAAGTCGGCCTGCCTTACGCCTCGCTCCACCAAAACGCTGCCATCACCGAGCCCGAACTTCACTGGGATTAAGGTAAATAAACAAAATTGTTAGTGTTACGTAATACTTCTCCTTTTGTAGCATTACATAATTGTTTGTTTCCTATGCTTAAAACTATCTTTATTTCCCATGTATCTATTGCTAGTTTTCTTCATTTTAAGTTTGTCATCAGTTATATGCTGTCTCTGTTATGCCTGTTTATGTGCGGAGCGGTGGCGTAGCGGTTAACTTGCTGCGCTATGAACCTGGAGACTCTGGTTCGGTTCCTGCTCATGGCAAACACTGGTGACGATTATTTGAAACGGTCCTGGGCCTCCCCTAGTTTGACTCGGACTCAAATGAGTGCCTGGTGCGATGTGTAAAATATCAGCACTGGGGATACAAAGGCGGCCGGGCGTGGTGCTGCCCACCCACCCCCTCGTATGCCGTTCCAGCTTTCATAGATGCTTGCTAACAGCACTTGCCCCAACAGTCTGAAGGCTACACGGGATCTTTTTCTGTGTGTGTGTGTAGACGAGCCTACTCCACTTGTGTCATTCTGTATGTGTGTATGTGAAGTCTAGGCTAGGCTCCATTAGTTTAATTATGGGTCGTGTTAGGGGAGATATTCGATTGACATAAAAGACTCGCAGGTAGTGCAGAGCATATGTACAGCGATACAATATAGGTAGCGATAGAAAGCGGATGACAGCGCGATACAGTACTGAGAGAAAATGGTGGTGGAGGCACAACTAGTTCCAGCTATGGGATTTTATCTTTATATTGGGGCAAAATTATTATTTGCCGACATACGAAAAATTCTGGTTACGGATCGTTCCCAGGAACCTAAGGCGGCTATTCGCTCAGTTGGCCTTGTCTGGTTAAATAACAAATAAACTTAACTTGAAAAATCTATGCACTTCCGATGATCGCAGTTGGCTACGTATGGTACGAAAGAAGTTCAACATACATGCGTACATGCGACTGCTGCGAGTGGGGCCTGCATGGACCATGACAAACAGTAGTGATTATTTGAGCTAACGGGGCCACTTGATGAATGTCTGACATTACATGCGATTGGACTCCCAGAAACTCATGTGGGCATGATGTGAATGGTATAAATGACTCTACACATGTCCCGTCGTACCGGGATTTACGTCTCGAACACGCCCTCACTTTATTATTAACACCGCTACCAGATTTGCGTCGCTTTGACTCCACACACTCACGTCGCCGACAGCAACGTCGGTCCTTTCTCGTTATCCGTCACCTCTCAGCCTTCATCTACACCTACCATGTACATGAACTCTTTTGCGTCACGCGTAAAGAAATACTGTACTGGAGAGTACGATAGATTTTTTACGTACGGTATATTGTTGATTTTTTATAGTGTACTGATCGTATTGTGCCCTGTATAATTTGTGCTGAAGTTTACTATTGTACACTAGTGTTGCTTTACAATATTTTTTGTAACATAATGTAACGTTGTGGGTACATTTAGGATGAAGATGCACGCATTAACGCACAGCGTCACCTACAACCTCCGTTGTCTTTAGCTGCCGTGGAAAAATCGCTTTGATTGACGTCGTTTCTATATTCGTCATCGCGCCTTTCAAGAAGGCATCCCCAACGTAAACCGGGATATTACTGGAGATGAAACATGCAGAATCGTGCAGCTATTGATAATTATAATTCTTTAATACATTTGTTATTTGAGCATTGTACATCGGTCAGGGCTATCATAGAGGCATTGTGTTTCACAGATGGATATAGTCCGCCAGTAGGCAGCGATGTTTCTTTGTATAATTCCAAATGAATAATGTGGGTCGTTTTAGGAATATGGTAAACTTGGACTGATGCCAGCACACCCAATGGCCCTCCCCGTTTCGGATTGCGTCACAGGATCCTTCATATCCACTGCAAAGCAGACTGTGTGCATATTTAACGGTTTAATTTGCCCGCAGTTTAAACCAGGGCGGGACCTTCACCATTTTACCATAAACCTCCGCAACAAGCGGAGAACGTGCTACCCCGCCCGACCCTGTTATTGATCCTGTAACAAAAACATTTCTGCAGTGCATCGAATGACCTCTTGGGTCTACAGACGGACTTCCTGTCAGCAGCAGAGCCGCTCGTCCAGCCCGCGTCTCCCTCCATGGGCAGCTGGGCGGGTGAGTACCCGTCGGGGAGGGGGGGTCACTCCACCCCCCCCCTCCCCCCTACTTCTTGGATAAGCACATTTATTTGTGGGTAAGATCAGTTTGCCTCTTAGCTGCGGTCATCTTGTCCACGGTATAGCAGACAGGATAGTTTTTTTTTCACACACGACTCATGTTCAGCCTGGCCTGTCCCTTTTGTGGTTGTTTTCACTCTTCCTGCTGAAATCGAACTCATTTGCCCTTCTTTTTTCACCACCTTTCCCTTCACCTTGCTCTTGTGCTTTCCTGGAATAAGCTGATCTACTTGGCGGAGGTAAGCTGTACGCTGTATTTCTCTTATGCATGCCAGATACCCTTCCCTTACAAACACAGGCCTTCCACTGCACGCGTATGTATGTATGTACGTTTAACTTTTTTCACACCGTATGTAGCCAATCGTGATAATTAGAGGTGGGGGAAGGACAATAAACTAAACACAAAAAGCAGTTATAAAGAAATTAGTTTTCAAACTAGATTATTTAAAAGCGTATAGCTCCAGTAACTTCCTAATATCGGAAGGAAGAGCGATCCAGACGGCCGCAGCAGCGCATCTGTAGGTGCGCGATGCAGTGACCGTCTTTGCTCTGACTAGCCAAAAGCTGCTGTGAAGCAACCGGATTTGAGATGTCTGCATTTCGTAGGTCTCATCTTCCCATTGAAGCATCAGCCGCAATCTAATCATGAACCGCAGGAACATCAACCGAATTGACTTTACTCCATAGTGCCCCCCCTCTATTGACAGCGATTGCAACTTCCCACGGTGCCTTATTGAGAATTTGCCTTCGGCGCCGTTGGCAATATTTACATCTTTCCGATGGCTCCTTTACCTGTTGTGTAAATTTGGCTCTGTGTCCTGCTCCCCTCCTCCCCTCATGCCCCCACCCACCAAGTGCACTTTTGGTCCGCCTCCTGCTGCGATGTGGACTGGAGGCGTTTTTTATAAACTGACCTGTCCTGGGCAGCTGGTTTAGTTAATTGTGAAGTGTGGATAGTGACATTCATGAATTCGGTAGATTTTGTTTTATGCGGTTGTTTGAAACTCAGGACATTTTTAGTGCCGTGATGAAGTATACATTATATACACTGACGCACTCCTGTAATCCGCGAATGTAGAGGCGAAGGTTTGTGGATGACAGAACTTTAAAACTCCTGTGGGAGTAGAGGTGCCTTACCTTGGCTGATCAGGAGGTGGTGCAGTAGGTATGGCCTAATCTCCATCTGTTTCATTTGTGTGATTCAGAGCAGTTACATCTCAATTTTTTACTGCACAGCACGCTTTTGCGTTTTCTCAATCTTCATTATTTATTTACTTATTAGTATTGGGGATGCTGCCATGGTGTAATAGTTTAGCATTCTGGGCTATGGTCGCCGGTTCCATTCCGTCTCCCACTGCGGCAGTTCAAATGACGGGAGTCCATTAAAGTGTCCTGCGTGCCCTCCTGTCCACCCAGCAGTAGACGTGGGCACACCACAGTGTATCGGCAGGTCGCGTGTTGTGGGGTGAAGTGTGGGTACTCTCACCTCTTCCAAGACGTGGAAGAGTAGGCAGATGCCCTCCACTAGAGGGAGCTCTTCAGAGCTGCCTCCTAGCGGAGGCCCTTCTGCCAACAGTGGCAGAAGCGGGAATTTGCAGAGCTGCACTTTTTTCGCCTGACCCCTGCACATGCGTGACTAAGGGGGTTGGAGGGGTGGGGGGCAACGGGGGGGGGGGGGGGGGGCGACGGCTGCCGGTATTGCGCTGCGACCAATGGTAAGGGGGAAGGTGGGGGGTGGCGGTTGGGTCGGCCCCTGAACGGCACGGAGGCGAGGAGCGGTAGTCTGTCCTTGCTTGGCAACGGCAGCGAGGCTCTTCCCTGCGATTCCGACCAACGTGGCGGCACGCCTGCTGGAGACTTTGCCGCAGCAGAACGCCAGTTGCGAAGCACCTGGTTGGAGTGTTGGACTTCTCGCTCGGGCTTTCTCCAGGTTAACTCCAGGTTTCCTCAGACATATATGAACACTCATTAATTGGCTGACAATCTTAATATCTTGAAGACCGCAGAGCTTGGGTAATGTTGGTGCTGGCTCACCGCCTGGCTGACTTCCCACTTGCATGCGGTTCCTCGCGCCTCCGAATCCGTGTTTGTCTTTGAGAGCGAAGAAACTACTGTGTGTGTTATAAGTTGAAACAAATATCTGGGTTTCCGTAAGGTTTTTAGCCAATATTGCGAGCAGCGTGAGTAACGTTGGTTTTGGAGGTGCGGAGAGCAGTGGGGGGGAAGATGTATCAGGCTAGCAGCAGCAATCAGGAGTGACTGCTCACTGCACATTGAGATCAACGGTGAGTATTTCAGACTCTAGGTTTAACATCGGTGAGAGTGAGCCAGCGCCCGTTACCTCGAGAACAATGCTGGGAGCTGGCGAGGGAAGGCAGTGCTTGGAATAACATCAGAGGTGTTTGTATTATTATTGTTATTCATAATGAATTCATATGTCATCTGTAACACCTCTGGAGATAGAACATACCTTTTTGAAATGGTATCTAGAGTGTCGATTTGCACACACGGCAAAAGTGTAATGACGTGTGTACACACTTAAAATATACAACTTCCACAGCATGTGCATTCTGTATATAAACATCACATCCCCATTGTGAGCTCGGGTTAACTTCTTTCACTCAACTCTCATCCCTTCTTGGTCTAACCTCCTCCTTGGTCTTCCCTAGACATGCTGTCCGCTCCAGCGGCTCCTGCTAGCCCCCACCCATCCCGCACCCCGACCCCCACCCTCACGGCCACCGCCTCCGCCGCCGCTTCCACGCAACCACCCGTAGGTGTCCCCCCCATAAGCGAGGGTGAGGCCTCCTCCCCTCCAGCCGAGGCCTCGGCGACGGGGGGCGGCACGGCTGCCGCTTCGCCTCCGAGCGGCGGCGCCGTCGCTCCCTCCAGTGTTCAGCCCTCGGACGTGGACCTCTTTGGAGGTCAGTCTCACTTCCGTCGATTCGAGAGAACCCCATCTGTGTTCGGCTGGGTGGCTCGGGGCGTGCTTGCGTTTAATCGCCGCGGTGGTTAGGAGATGTTAACTACCTCGCCTGGTATACAGGAGGTCGGTGGGTTCGATCCCGACCCAGTGACGCCTATTGTATGTTTGGATGTTTTTCCCGTAGTCGTGTGGATTTTTCTCCGAGTCCTCCGGTTTTTCTCTCGACATTTAGGATCAACGTGCATTTTAGAGAATTTGGCTGCTACAAATTTCCACATGATGATAAGACACTTCTTTGAGCTGTCATTTGTGGCCAGGTTGCTTCTGAAAAAGAGCTATATGGCTCCGTGGGCCTTAGCTGGTAAAATAAAAGTTCAGTTTCGTGAGATTCCTTATGTCAACACTAATCGAGCACTATCCTGTGTTCACATCTGTGATTCTACCCGCACGAGATGAAAGCATCGTTTATACGTATAAATTCTGATTAGCCTGGTCAACAGTGACCAGCACAATACCAATCAAACATAAAATATTTTTTGTTCCACTTTTTTTGCAGCTATGAGGGCCTCCGTTGGATTTTGGTAAAATAAAAAAGCCCATGAATAATGGTAGGCATGTATTCAAAATTTAAGATTTTATTTATTCATAATAAATCGTGAAGAGGGCTATCAAGAGGTGACTGCATGTCACAGAGGGCTGAGCCGGCCTAGTGGCTCAACAGGCGAGCGAGCGACTCGCAACTCGAAGGTTGTGATTTCAAATCCTGGTTGTGGGTTGACTCGGCCCAGGGCTCCAAGCTGGAGGTGATGACTGTATCACTGCTCATTGGAGCAGGAAATCAGTTGGACTTGTTTTTTTATGAAGGAGTTCGGACGGGCAGGTCATTGTTTTTAAGAACTATGCCATTTCTTACCCAGTGTTCGTGTAAAATGTAGAAATTCGCAGTAATTACACTAACACAATTTTTGTTCCTGGGTAGTAAGTGTTATTTATTAATTGCTTATGCCTAAAAAGTATAGAAAATGGCTTATTCCCCACAAACTTTACTTTTGTGACCAGGACAGTGATATTTTAAAATTCACCTATTTTCAATGAGAAAACAGGCAAATTTGTATCTTTTCCTTAACAAAGTCCGAAAAAAACAACATGAATCAAAAGTAACATGTATTTATAATAAAGTAATACAAAAATTAGTACGAAAGATTTAGAAGTGAGTAGTTTTTCGAGATTTACAATTATACTGTAAATCACTTTCATGAATCAGCCCCCAAATGTAGTCTCCCATCATGTTTTCGTTATACTGTCCTTGGTAGCGGCGTTCAAAGGCCAGTATATCCTGGTGGAAGCGCTCGCCTTGCTCCTCCGAGTACACTCCCATGTTCTCCTTGAATTTATCAAGATGAGCATTAAGGATATGGACTTTGAGGGACATCCTACAGCCCATTGTGCCATAGTTCTTCACCAGAGTCTCAACCAGCTCCACATAGTTTTCGACCTTGTGATTGCCCAGGAAGCCACGAACCACTGCGAACAAAGCTGTCCCAAGCCGCTTTCTCCTTACTAGTGAGCTTCTTGGGGAATTCATTGCACTCCAGGATCTTCTTTATCTGTGGTCCGACGAAGACACCGGCTTTGACCTTTGCCCCAGACAGCTTATGGCAGAAGTCTTGAAGGTACTTAAAGGCTGCCGACTCCTTATCTACAGCTCTGACAAATTGTTTCACAAGGATCAATTTGATGTGCAGTGGTGGCATCGGCACCTTCCGGGGGTCCACTAGTGGCTCCTACTTGATGTTGTTCCTCCCCACAGATAACTCCTTGCGCTGTAGCAAGTCCCGCCTGTGGTAGAGCGCCTTGGTGTCCCTGCTGTCCCAAAGGCAGCCGTACTCATCATACTTCAAGGCATCCAGAAAGGTCTTGATGCTGTTGTAATCCTCTTTGAGGTGCACCGAGTGAGAACAGACTGATCACATTGTGGCAGAAGCAGAGAGCCCATCTTGACGGGTGAAAAAGCTGCAAAAAAATTGGTGACGCTTCCTCTGATCGGCGACTTGCACACTTTCATCCAACAAGTTCCACTGCTTAAGCCTAGACATCAAAAGCTCTGCATTTGACTTGGTGAGACCAAGATCTCTGATCAAAACGTTGAGGTATTTTTGGTTGGGGTAGTATGGGTTTCTCTCCTCAGCTCCATCTCTGAAATTGTCATCTTGATCTACAAATGTCTTCCTCGCTCTCTGACTTGCTGCTCTCTTCTAAACACTTCTGCTCTCTCTCTGGAGGAGTGGTACGGGGAGCTCATGGCAGTGTGGCACCGGGGCGATGGTTCAAGGTCCGGATGCGTGATAGCAGGTGCATTCTTGCCAGTCCGACGTTTGGAAGGGTCCATCATGCAGAAGTAGCAGTTGCTTGAGTGGTCAGTAGGTCCCTGCCAAAAACTTGGGATATTGAACTTCATGGCTCTACAAAAATACATTTATTTCACCCATGACTAATGTTTTGGAGATTCTCGCAACATTTTTCATATATGATATATTTTTTCAATAACATTTAAAATTGTAAAACATTTTTTAATTAAAAACTTTCACAATTTTCTTTTTTACAAATTTTATAACATGAAATTCCAAGCAACAATTGTCCATCTTATAATCCAGAGTTTTTCTGCATTGCTCATAGGTGAAATTAGGTGCCCAGGGTTTGTCTTGATCCCCGACAGGCATGCTGAAATATGCCTTGTAGGCCTCGCACATCTTAGCAGATGCTTTCACAGAGTACTTTTTCGCTCTTGTCTTGATAAATTGGCCGCAGAAATAGCAAAATGTGTCTGCTGGATGCTTGCAGCCTCTTGATGCCATCTCAGAAAAGTGCAGATATGTATCCACTTAGGCAGCTGGAACTAAACTGAATTGGTGGGCTTAAGGCCCCTGTATTTACACTACTATTTATATTACTGGAAAGTTCTAGAATATTCTACAAGTTTCTCCAAGTATATTTAGCACTGAATCTATCTGAAATGTTCTGGAAAATAGGTACATTTCAAAATATCACTATCCTGGTCACAAAAGCAAATTTTGTGGGGAATAATAGCCATTTCTGTACTTGAGGCATAAGCAATTCGGATATAACACTTACTATCCAGGAACACAAACTAAATAATAAATTGTTACACGGTGTTATACATGTGCAATTAATTTTCATGCTGAAATTTAGACGAAGTGTAGGGTATTATTGGTGTTTTTTTTTTCCTAATGAAAGCCTCGGTCCTCTGAGGCCCTTTCTCTGGAATTTTCGGCCATAAGCGGTTTTATAATAATGACCCGTGGAGGCTATACTTGGAATATTTAGACTTGTATTTTGTTAGATTATTCGCAACATAACATCAAGAAAATTTCATTATGATCTTTAGTCGTATGAATGTAATAGCGTTATTTATCTTTTTTATGTTTTGGAAAACATTTTCAGGAGTCTAATTTGCAAGAGATTCCTCAGTGGGCTCTCACTGGATTTTGAATAAAGGATTATTTGTTTCCTGCACCTCAGAGTCCATATTCAATAAAGTGGGAACATTAAACAGTAAGTGTTCACAAAGCCCTGCGAGCCACCCAGCCATCTGTGTTAAGAGTGGTATAAACGTTCCTCTGTGTATCTGTCTTTTACGCGCTCTTCATCCTTCCTGCTTTCCTGCCTATCTACCTGCCTCACTGGAAATTGGGGATTGCATCGGAGCAGATGTGTTTGCCTCAACCCTGAGCGAGCCTGCCACCACCGCTGCCTCCTCCTCCGCTGCTGCCAATTCCTCCGCCGCCGCCGCCACTGCGAAGCCGGGAGACGGAGCCGAAGCGGCTGTCGACCTCTTTTCTGGTGCGGGCGGCGTTGTTGAGAGAGGGGAAAAATTACCTCTGGGCTGCTGCTGCCGCGTCTGTCACAAAACAACAACAAATTCGAGAGGCGGAGTGTCCCCCCCCGTTGTGCCTCTCCAGTTGTATTGCTGATGGCACGGGCGCGCACCGCGCAGTCCCTTGCAGGCAGAGGCAGATGTAGATGCTTCCCAAAGAGGTGGGGGGGGAGGGTGGGTGAGGGAGGCCTGGGCGGTACTGAAACATGATGCCGTTTAAACGGGGTCCTTAGTTAATAATAACAAAAACACATTAAATGTACAGTAGTCCCTCAGTTGACCGTGACATCGGTTAACGATTATTCGGTTAACGTTTTGCCTAACCATAGGGACTCCATGGTTTGACTCGTGTAAAAATGTTGATTAACGGTACGTTTATGTGATTGAACGGCTTCATGCTTTTAACATGGAATTCGTATAGTCGGTTAACAGTTATTTAGGTTAACAGTAGTTTTTGTGGAACTGATTAAAATGTTAACCGAGGGACTACTGTTTATTATTATTTTAATATCTTGAGTGGGGAGATCCACCCCCATTGCGGTCTTTCCTCTCCTACTACCCCCCCTGCCCTTTCACAATCATGCTGGAGGAATGACTAAAACGTGATTAAACATTAGGCACTAGCCTGTCAATGTGGTATAGAATAAGCTTGGTATATTATACATTGCTGGACTTCCTATAATCTGTGATTATCGCAGCTGTGAAGAGGTGTTTCGCTGTAGTGTTTTTTTTCTCTTACCCATTCACCTCCAGGACCAAGGATTGATGAGTTATCTTTGTATGTATGTATGTGTGAAACAGGGGGTCACAATAATTATCATAAAGGTTATCATATGTAAACTCAAGGAAAAAAAAACTCCCGTTTGTCAATAGGGCGTCCGTAAAAGTGTTAAATAGGTGACGTTTTGGGCAATAGCCCGTCTTCTAAGTGCATAATTAGAGGCCAGAGAAATGGTGAAAAGAGTTAAAAAATGTACTTCATGATGGGTCACCATAAAATAAATAAACTAGTTTGTATAAAAAAATTTAAATTTCTGGCACAATGCAGTATGGGCAAAACTGCTGTTGTTACGTCAATAAAACCATAATTGTCATAATCTGCTAAGTTATGGATTCCCAGGCCCAATTCTAATTTAGTTTTGGGTTCAATACGCAATGTGCTTGTAACATTTTATAAATTGACCTTCAATACAAATTCGTTTATTTATTGAAACATGTTTGATTGTTGAAGGATTTGTGTGGTACCCAATTGCTACGAATAAGTAACTATTCGTATGCCAATTTAGAAACCGTTCATAAGTCAACCAAAATGTCATTCTCATCAAGCCTCATAGTCGACACAAGTGCAGTCCCCAACACCGATCCCCTCGGTCTCTCTGGGCTCTTTTATTTTCTATGAAGAAGGATCCATTGCTTGACATGTGACACACTACATATTTAATTTTTTAAGGTCGCGCTTTTTATTGTTGACATCGAGTCTTTTTTGTTGTTCCTCGTAAACTGTTTTTGTTACTATGAAGGACTTTTGCCTTCATTAAGATGATTGGGCAAATTCATCAACTGTTGCCTGAAATGTGTTCAATAATTCTCTAATCGTTAATTACATGAGCCCCTTAAGCCATCGTGACATCACATGCTGGTAGGCTTCACACGCCACCGGGCCTCCGGTGTGTCTAAATGTTTCGGAATTATAAACAAGCTGATCCATAAGAGGTTTTTTTTTTTAGTTAGATTACGTAAATATATAAATGTGTCGTTAAAACCCGCCACCACCCGACACAGCCAACTAGTAAGGGTTTTAACGTAAACAGAACGTGGCCAATTCGTCACTAGTACAGCACACCGGTGTGTTGGAGAGCCAAGCCACAACATTTACAATCTGAGCACGACGTTTCGCCAGTAATTACAACTAGCTTCATCAGGCGGCAGCCAGATCTGTGGAGAAGTCCACCTGTTTCGTTCCTTATATAGAAGCGTAAATGTGGTGACCACACTTCTGCGCTCTTGCGCAAAGTGGGAGGGGAAGATTAATGAGTCAAAGTACATTATGCATGCGCTTGATATGAGCCCTTTGATCTTGTCCTTCCTGTCCATTGTGTGTATTAAAATATCCCTGCCAACGGTCATCCCTATTGACGTATGGTGCCCTGTATAGGCATGTATTTAAATAATGTATTATTTGATGATTAACTTCCACGCAGCACTTAGTCGGTAGCTATCCGAACGGTTAAAAAAAATTCAACTTCGATAGATTCTCTAATTAGTCATGGCCAGTAGAGCTAGTTTTGCACAGAACTTCAACATTATCAAAATCAATTGAGTGTCCTTGTTGGCATGCGTGTTCTGCTGCTGCTGACGGTTGCATTTGGGAGTTTAATATTTCTCTGATGTTCTTTTAGTCTCGTGCTGATCATTCGTCCTGTTTCCCCAACCAAACATTTACCACAAGTGCAGTTAATCCTCTACACAACTTTTGTTGACAGCTTCGGTAGTACATCTCTTGTACCAGATATTAATTTCTGTCTTTTATGTACCCTGCCAAATCTGACTTGGATGTTTTGTTTTTCCAAACATCAGGCTAGTTTATCAGTTACTCCCACATTTTTATGGTATTTTGATCGTTTTAATTACTTGGGCAGTTTCAATGCTCGTGTTATTTGATTTGGTTTTGGCATTCAATGCCTTGTTTATTTGTGCATCATTGTACCCATTCATTTGCAGCGCCTCTATAACATGTTGAATTTCACTCCTCAGACTCACCATCTGACACTTTCTTAGCTCGATGAATGAGTGTCTTGACAAGAGCATATATAAGGAACGAAACAGTAAGACTTCTCCACAAATCTGTCTGTCACCTGATGAAGCTAGTTGTAATTACTGGCAAAACGTCGTACCCAGTTTGTAAATGCTGTGGTTTGGCTCTCCAACACACCGGTGTGCTGTATTAGTGACAAATTGGCATTTTATGTTTACGTGACAACCCTTACTAGTTGGCTGTGTCGGGTGGTGGCGGGTTTTAACGACACATTTATATATTTATGCGATATATCCCAAAAAAAAACATCTGGATGAAATTGGTCGCCAAAGCCTATCTGTTAAACAAACAAGCTGATGTTATTACATGTGATTGTCATCGCATTATGTGTTTATGGGAAGTCATTCAAAATTAACTTATTCATTTTAAACATTAATGAGTTAAATTCTAAACCAGGCGAGGCAGGCTAAGCGGCAGGCTAAGCGGCAGGCTAAGCGGCAGGCTAAGCCGCAGGCTAAGCGGCAGGCTAAGCGGCAGGCTAAGCGGCAGGCTAAGCCGTAGGCTAAGCCTGCCTCGCCTGGTTTCCTTGCCCGGGTCCCCGCTTCTTTCTGGTCAAGATCATCTTGGAGAAACCATGGAAGGCCCAAGTTGCTCATCATCAGCCTTGATTTATCCACTGCTGGATGATGACCGATATCATGTCTCTGATGTGTTTGCCTAATCCTCGTGTCCCTCTGTGTGCCTGTCAGTAATTCCAAGCATTCTTCTGATCTTGCTTTTATCATATTCATTATGCTATATCCACTCCTGCATGAAGCATCAGTAATATAAACTACATTCGAAGCTTTCGTGACTGCAGGAATTACTCTTTGGTTCTTTCGGTAAAGTCACGACGTTTCGGTTGCACCACAAGCAACCATCATCAGGTAAGAATGAATGATAATTTATTTTCTACGTGACTTTACCGAAAGAACCAAAGAGTCATCAATAATATATCTCTAACGTTCATATGTTCTATAATTTACATGTTCCATTGTTGTCTGTAGTTAAAAGCATGCATTTGTCAATGCTTTAAGTACATTTATAACCTGGCTGAAATGATCCACCACACTTGACAACCCAGATTAATCTTGGCTGCCACTTAGAGTTGAACTCGTGATCTCAGCAGTGCTGGCTCTGTTATAAATGAAGATGCACCTGCCACGCGATAAAATGTCTTGTCACATAACTTGACATAGCGCAGCTCCGTGTGATAATAAAAAAAATCTCAAAAACCTACCTTCACAACATCATTAGTGCTGTTTTGTGACTGGGTAAGAGATCCTCCAGGGAACGTGTGACATCATTGGATGATCTGTGATGTCGTGTGATCTGTAATTGATCATATCTGCTGCAGTGGGGAGTCATTGGTTGGGTCCCACGGTGGCGAGATGTTAACTACCTCGCCCGGTATACAGGAGGTTCTTGGGTTCGATCCTGACCCTGACACCTGCTGTATATTTGGCGTTTGCATGTTCTCTCCCCGTGGTCGTGTGGATTTGTATCTGTGTCCTCCGGTTTTTCCGTCCATTTTTAATCGACATGTGTTTAGAGTATTTGGCTGCTATACATTTCCACATGATAAGGCACTTTGTTGAGTTGTCATTTGTGGCCAGGTCGCATCTGAAAATTAGCTAAATAGCTCGGTGGGCCTAACCTTGTAAAATAAAAATAAATAGTTTTATCTTCTTTTGGTTCTTTCGGTAGTTTATTGTGTATTTTTCTGTCATCTGACTCGCTAGCACATCTCATAATTTGTGATTCTATTCCAAGCTAACAAGGGAAAAAATGCCGAGACTTATAGACTGTAAACGTTATTATTTGAATTCGTTCTCATACGAAATGCCCACAATTTCGCGAACCTTAGCCAATCCGAACATTTCTGTTGGTCTCATCCAGCTTTTGTATCCTTTCAACATTATCCCATTCAATACCCGCGTGTAGCCCTATACAGCAGGGCACAGCGTACACTTAACCAAGCTTGTGCCAGTTCCAGAACAGACCGGTACAAAATGTGAGCATTTCAAGTTTAACTTTGTAATGTTTTGTCTTTCCTTCTTCCATTTGGTTCCACTTTGTTGCTACACCATCACCTATTTCTAATTGTTTCACTGTTTTGGGGAATCATGTGCAGCTGCCATTCATGACTCTTTGCATGAATGGCAGTCCAAAAAAATATGGATAATACAAAAATAATGAGATTTGTTTCAGCCCTAAATTAAATACAATATAAATTAATTTGCCAACGAACCGTCTTGATCAATGTGTTTTTATAGAATTTGTTTTTAAAAGAGAAACCTTTCACCGGTTTTGAATTAGGTCTCATTAATTAGTAGCGAGTGATTTGAATGCTTGGGATAATCCATTGGTTTGCACAAGAGAAAACATTGTGAAACTGTTGAATATTTAATTGTTTTTAACCAATGAGGCACCTTCTTTTGGACACTTGAACGCTTGAATTAGTGTTCCTGTAGTATGCTTTTCTATTTCCCTGGTCCCTATTTCTCCTTTCCTCCTCCCCACTGCGGCCTTGCCCCCTCCCCTCTCCTAAACCCCCTCTCCTCCCGCTTGCCCCAAGACCCGTTTGCTCCCAGCGCGGGATCCGCTGGAGACGCAGCCCCTGCCGATCTGGACCTCTTTGCCATCAAGGTGGCATTGCCAGAGGGAGCACCTGACGCAGCGGGGGTGACACTGCCCCTCGCACCGTCTCCGGCTGCCGCTGTGCTCACGCCTTCGGCCCCTGTGCCCCCTTTGCTCACTCCGACTGCCCCTGCAGCCCCTGCCGCCTCTGTAGATCTTTTTGCCGGTAAAGATTCTGTCCCTTCGAAAGCCAATATGCTGTAATCGCTTTTGCTTTTCAAACCATGCTGAGGTGGAGTATGATGTGCTGTTCGATAATTTGAATTTCTCATGGTACCTTACAGATTCAATAGAGGGCGAAGTACACATTTATGCCGAAATTAATAATAATACATCCAAGTTTACCCATGAAAGCTTCAAGAACTGTCTCGTGGTATTTCTGTAGCTGCTTGGTAACGCATGCAGGAAATTATGAACGTGCACCGGCTGCTGCAGTTTGGAAGTTAGACCCTGTAATATTACATCATCTTTACTGTGTGCCCATGTCGTGGTCAACATTTTCATTTTAATAATACATATTCTTTTGCATTAGTTATTAACGGGATACCCATGGCTTATACTTTCATCCAGCCCCTTACCTGGTTAATTAATGGTCGTAGATTTGTAACCCACTTCAATGTCTACTGCTCGTCTTATTTTAGCGTACCAGAGTAAGGGACAAAACTTCCTTATGTCGTCTGTATTTCCTTTGGTAATTCTGAGTAGACCTCCGTTACTGTAATTACCTCGATATTTTTCTTTGCTATTAGTGAGTTCTTTGTGCTGGAAGCGTCCTAGGCAACAGGTGGTGTGGGATCAACAAGAGCCTCAGGTTTAAGCCTCGTTTAATACCTGAGATTCACAAGAGCTTGATGATTAGACGTGAATCCTAGGAATGTAATGATCTTTAACGTGATGTTTGACACGAGAGGTTTTGCAGAGTTGACCGTCTCATTCAATGAAGTGAACAATCTTTTTTTCGGGGGCACCTATTGTGTTGTTGCAACAGAGCTGCCACCGCTGAGAATGTAGACTCGTTCTCTCAGGTACTCGCGCTCGGGCTCTAAACCAATTGAGTTTGTTTGACTTCATTTGGCTTATTCCAACTCCTGAGAAATGTTAAAGTTGCTTTTAATTGCTGTGCAACATCCACTTTGCGGAGTTTATAATGCGAAAAACCAGTTGAAGACATTTTCACACTAGTTCTGTGATATCCTCTTCTAGAGATATTCACTCACTGCGTGGTTAACTCTCACCTATAAGTCCCAAATCGAAGTTTCTCTCTTGACAATAGCAATTGTAGGTATAATGGAGTATGATTGGAACTCTATGTATGTAGAACTTCTTTCGCACCATATGTAGCCAACCGTGCTCATCGAAGGTGTGGGGAGCAGGACCACAAACTAAGTACAAAAATCAGTTTTTAAAAATTAGTTTTCAATCTACATGTTAGGGACTACATTGGATTGGTGTAGAAGCATCGGCTAAATATATTTTACCACCATGGTCATTAATAACAAACACAGACCTGAGATTCTGAACTATATGCAGAACGTCTACACTGTGCAGAGTACCCATTTTCAGAGTAGATAAGAGAGACGGCAACAGGAAAAATCGAAGATTGGTTTTAATTTAAACATTTTACAGTGAGGTCTGGGGGGAGGGGGAAATGGTTTAAAGTGGAGGTGCAATATGCATATAAATAGTTTTTCATTATCAGATTCTTAGTCCCCTTTTTAAACGAATAAAACACACGTATACAAGGAAGAAATTCCATGCATATGCATGGATCCTTAATATCTTTCTAAAATGTTTGTCCTGAAGTTTGTGTTAATTAATCATTTATTTCTGCCATGACATGCAGAACACAAATTTAGACATTAACAAATACAATCAAAACTGAAGCGCATGCATAGAAACATGGAGAGGTGTAGACTTGCAAATGCATTGGGATGACAAAAAAGGACACGTGGATTAGAGGACATAGATTAACCACGTTAGATTAACTATTAACAAAAGTTAGTGGGCTTGGGAAACCATTATCAATATGGCCGGTTTTCATTTGGGTAAGTCCTTAATAGCAGCACAACCTTGGACTAAAGTTGTGTTTTTATATTGGATCATCTTTCGAGAATTATCGGGACCTCCCTCATGTTGCAGACAGGCAGACGGATGGACGGCAAGCTTTTGTGCTTTCAACCTCCATTTAAAAGGCTTAAATAACTATCATGTAAAAAATAACTTAGAAAAGTTCACTAACTCTTATAAGCATTTGACCTCTCTATCTCTACCCTTTGTAGGACCATTGCCCGAGATGTTGGCTCATTACTGCATGTGCTTTTTGAGTTTTCAGACAGAGTTTGTCATTTGAAGTTGTGCTAAAGTCTTCTCAGCTTGTGGTTTGCACAAAGGGTGCACATTCCCAATGTTAGCGTGAACCGCAGTGCTTTGCGAGTGGGTGGTCCGCTCTGCTTTCTGCAGACATGTTCGGCTCCCTGCCCGAGCCCACGCGGGCTGGGTCTCCTAAGCCTGAAGGCCCCACCAACGTAGACCTCTTGGCTCCAGGTACCATGTGCATTGAGTGTTGTGTTTGTGGTCTGTGCCCCAACCTCTCAATCCCCCGTCTTGTGCTGCTCAAAACCACCCGGAGTGAATGTCGCCAGTTTATTTGCATGGTGATTTGCATGTCGCCACTGCGTTTACATAGCTCTAATACATTGTTGGTTAGGATTGTAGCTTGGTTGATAGAGAAACAGGGCTCCTAATGGTGAGCTTAACGGCAATTGTTTTAACGATTGATGGGAGGCCTGTTGACCCTGATGAAGATATGAACTCTCAACCCCAACATTCATGGTCTGTTTGCTATAGCAAGAGCCATCATTGCTCATGGATGTCTACCTTGGTATTCTCTGTCCTAATTATTGGGTGCTTTTCTATACCTTACCTGTGGTTGGGAAAGTTTTGGCTTTTGTGTACGTTTTCAATGCCAGATGTAACGTCTCCGCCATTATCCAAACCACACCGGTATTATAATTTCACCCGTGGTTTGTTTTTGTTTTTCCCAAATGTTGCAATTTGTTGTAAATGTTTTCAATGGAATTTCTGCCACGCTTGGAAAATATTCAGCTTCGATGCATCCACGTGCACATTTTACCTGTTTTAACCCGTCGGCGTCACTCACTTCTGTCAAGTAGGTTGTGATGTGAGCCTAATTCTGCAGCTGTTGTACACTCGAGTTCTAACAACGGACTTCCCTCTGTCCTGGTAATAACTGCAATTTACTCAAGTCTGTGGCCTAACATGGCTTGGCGCTCACTTTTTTGGAAGAATTATTACATTTTATAGCAATAATTTTTACACGTTTTAAATCATGTTGTGAAATCTGAGCTGACAGCAGTCAAATATCTTGCAAATATAACTCTGACCATGTATTTAAACCCATAGAGACATGAGAACACTCGGAGAATTGTCCCCCTCATCCAGAGTCTGCTGCACTGGGCTTACACGTGGAAGATATTTGTATTAAAGGATTTGCACATTCTGGATATCCATCAAACTTCCACAATTCAAGTTAGATTGCATTCATGATTGTCACTGGACCATGCGCCATACGATATTTCTGATAAGTTTGTCCTTTAATGAAATCACAAGCTTCCATATTGAGAGACAATTATGGGATGAACTTGGTCAGCGGTCAGCAACTTTTGGTTCCCGAGCTGAAAGCTGCTCTTTAAGGACTGCTTCGTAATGTTATTCGCATGCATAGCGGCTCTTGAAATATTGAGCTTTAAATTTTGATTTAAAGCTTTCGTGACTGCAGTAATTCATATTCTTAGTTCTTTCAGTAAAGTCACGTTGAAGGGAAACAATAAAATAATAAAATATATATAAAACAATAAAAATTCTCACGACGTTTCGACCATAACACAAACATCATCACACCTGATGACGACCGTTTGTGTTATGGTCGAAACGTCGTGAGAATTTTTATTGTTTTATATATATTTTATTATTTTATTGTTTCCCTTCAACGTGACTTTACCGAAAGAACTAAGAATATATATCGAGCTTTTTTACCGAATTCATATAAAATGACTTTGTTATTTTCAGTTGCTGGCCCCTGGCCTAGGCATATGCAAGATGGCTGCCCAGATTGTTGCCTATCAACTGAAAATAAAAACCAGAATTGGATCTAGTCATGTGCTCCTGGACCAGTGCCAAATTAAATGAAGAACATTTTCTCAGATGCAGTAAGCCCTCTATTTACTTTGGAAATGTGTGTGACGTTGGGCCAAACAATGTAAATCGAAACCTATTTTACCATTGAACAAATATATTTATTAGGGCTATGTTCCTGGGGGTAATTTTTTGCTCAACATTTGCAGTAAAAATATTAAATTAATACCAAAAAAAGTTAACAGAGGTGTTCATGGTTCGCATCCAGCGACCAACCTGGTTATTCCTGCGAGTGTATTCACTGTCAAAATATGCGCTATCTGCTTCACATTGGACGTGAAAGATCCTGTGATGCCATTCGCAAGAATAGGCCAATGTGCACCTGCGTCAGAGTCCAAATGTAAAAAAATACCCACAAATTAAAATGAAATATACACAGCAGTCATTTCCCTTGACTACAAAAACCTGGCAGTACCCTCCTGAAAAAGCAATGAGACTCTGAGGCTTTTCTGGGTAAACAAGCATGTTAATATTAATCAATGTAAACAAGTGATTTAAAGCTTTCGTGACTGCAAGGATCCATACTCTTTGGTTCTATTCGGTAAAGTCGCGTAGGTAAAAAATAAAACAACAAAAATCACGACGTTTCGAGACAGCCTGGTCCCTTCACCTGATGAAGGCCGCTTGTGTTCTGGCCAAAACGTCGTGATTTTTGTTTTATTTTTTACCTACGTGACTTTACCGAATAGAACCAAAGAGTATGTAAACAAGTGATTTGAATCGCAAGTCTGACGGTTTTTCCAGGTGGGGAATTCTGACGAACTAAGTGCATTGCAACCGAAGGAACTGTAGAGAGGGGGAAAAAAACCTGTTCCTCAAGAACAATCGCTGCTTTCTGTGTTGGTCCACGGACTTTAGACCCGACTCCATAGCGACATCACAGGGTTAGGACCTGGTAACATCCGTGTCATCATGTATGACTATTGGCACCCGTAATGGACAATGTGCAATGTCCCACCATGCATCTCCAGCAGCCTAGTTCCTTTATTTTACCCTACACCGTGATGACCGATATATCCCCCACTCATCATACCTGACAGTAACTACAGTTAAATATTGCAGATGCAGGGGGTGTCATACTTGGTTGTCATGGCCACCGCAATATAAATAAAGCCACTCTTAAACGTCATCTTTTGCAGACTCTGTGCATAAGCTTCTACTGCTTTCACCGAATGCCTCTAACTAAATCATTCACACAGCATAATGGAAACCTGGTTAACACAGTAAAAAAAAATGTTATTACTAATGCTTGATGCTGCCCGTTCTTTTTATCACGATAACAACATCTGCCTTCTGTAGGCTGTGGGAATGACCAAGCTCCTCTCAACGTAATGTGGGCACTCATGAACTCTACAGGAGGCTGACATAAACAGATGGGTTGTCAAACATTTAAGCAATCGATTAAAAGTTGTTTAAATTAAATATATACCCATTTGAAACTGCAGAACTGTATCGTGAGAGGTCATTGATGCATGTTTGTTTATGGTGTAATGGTTGAATTGCCATCGTCCTGTTTGAGCTCCACTGTTAATTCTCATTTACATAACTTGCATAATTCATGCTGTGGGGAAATGCGTGCCAATGAATTGCTTATTTATGAAAACGTTCATTTTTTACACTCGCCTTCATTGTTAGGTTTTCACGGGTTAAATGATTGCTCCTCGTATATTATACATTCAATTGGCAAGGCATTCCCTTAATTTGTTATTTAGTTTGACGAGTTACTGAAATAATGTAGATGAATATAGTATTGTTATTTGGGATTTCTACAGATGAAGCGTTTTTTTCAAAATTATTCCATGGACTGCCACAATTCCACAACACAGTTGGAAAGTATTTGGAGGCTCACTTTTCAATCCTTTTTCTAAAATTGTATCCTTTGTAAATCACTGCGCCATTGCTGATAAAAGTGGTGCCTGCACAGGTTAAATAATAAATTGCCTTCTCAATATGTTTGCCAATGTTTTAGTAACTTTGGTTTTGTGCATACATCTGGCATATTCCAGCTCTTGAAGCAATATTTAGCAGAGACAAAAGGAGTTTAAATATTTGCTTGTCCACAATGATGATGCTGGTTTCTAGATCGGCTTCTGTGCATAAGCTTGGAAGGCACTGGCTATTTCCCATGAATCAATGTGGCATGGGCACCTTTACAATGACATGCATGGTGAGCTGCGGCCCTTGCTTTGTGAACCCACTTATTAAAAAAAAACATGTTTGCATACAAAAGTACCACCGTTTTTATTTTATCTTCTAGCATTTGACATTACAATCCTTTCTTTCCTCGGTGCTGCCTGTTTTGATAACTCCGTGCACGTTGCTTGCTGCCAAGACGTTTTTACATCCCCACCTTGTGGGGCATCTCCCATGTCTGATGCACCGGCCTCATCAGATCTCCTTGCCGGTGAGATTTTTATATATTTTTTTACTTTGGATTCATCATCGTAACTTCACATCAACATCGCTGATCTAAAACAGGTTTTCAGGTTCTGCATATATTTAAGATGTGTCGAGCTTGTTCATGAGGTTAATTTTATACAATCAAATATGATGTTTAAATCATTGCTATGTATTGGAGGCCAGGTTTGTGTCTAAGCACTGAAACTCTGCAGTTGAAATGCGGCTTCAAATCAAGTCTGATAAGTGTGATTGAATGGCCATTTGCCATAAATGTAAAACTTACATTAATTGCAGAACTGTGTACATTCGCTTTTTCGAGTAATATATCACGCCCCATTGCAGAGTTCCACTTCTTGTAATATGCCGGATGACGTAGCAAAGTGACCTAATAGAACATGAAGGGGAAATGTCTCTTGGATGAAAGATTATATCGGAGTGACTCCAGAAGTAGGTCTGTGGTGTCATCTCCTGAGGCTATCTTCTGATGTGACACAGTGCTCTGCAATGATTTCAAAAGGCCATTTCTTAATCTCATGACGTGCCTTGAACAGGACAATTGGGGGATGTTTTCAAAGCTACATGTCTAATCTCCAGTTATGAGTAAGTTACCGATGTACATTATAATGGTCTAGAAAGTCTTCTTGGTTCTTTCGGTAAAGTCACGTAGAATGGAAATAAAATAATAAAAATAAAACGTAATAAAATAAAATTCTCACGACCTTTCCGTGACTATCATCTCGTATTCACCACACAATGCATTGTGGCGGTTCTTGAATATTGAGGGTTTTTTTAACCAAATAATTAAAATGGATCTTCCTACAATAATAGGGGTTTTCTCCTTTTTTCTGGCAACAAAACTGAAACTTTTTTTACGAGGATTCATGTCTGCATTAACCACAATACTTGCAGTCAAAATGCAGACAAAAAACACACTCTGATAATATATGCATTGTCCTTGAATCTGATTGGTCTACACCAGAGACAGCTTTCTTTAGAGCCTCGTCTCAATTGGTGCTAGACCAGATGACGCCAAAAGGCGTACAGCTCAAAGACAATACACTAACAAAGTAATGAGGGTTCGGGGTAAGCATCTACATCATTGAACCTCCTTTGCCAGTACCAAATATAATAATAGGGTTTTTCCCCTTTTTTCTGGCAACAAAACTGAAACCTTTTTTACGAGGATTCATGTCTGCATTTTGACTGCAAGTAGTGTGGTTAATGCAGACATGAATCCTCGTAAAAAATGTTTCGGTTTTGTTGCCATAAAAAAGTGGAAAAACTCTATTATATTTTGCTACTGGCAAAGGAGGTCCAATGATGGTGGATCTTCCTGTTATTTCGGTTGCCCGGCCTCCTGAGATAAATCAGAACTCCTAGTACAACAAAACAAATCGATAAATGGTCCCGTACATTTGGAAGTTTGATTTACTTTGGCTGATGATGATTATGGGGGTGAAGATGATGATACTATGGCAGTCATCGGTGCTCTTGTTGCCACACTCTTCCCGATTGCCTTCCCGTGTTTCTCTGTAAATCCGACTGATTCATATACTATGCAGATGCTCGCTTGCCATGAGCAGGTGCATCCAACAACTCCCACTTTTAAAGCTAAACTCGGCACTTGTTTCTACTTTTCTACTCTCGCTCCAACTTCCTCCACACCACAAATAGTGCAAAAATAGGGAACAAGGCAACGGCACTTGCAGAGAGTGAAAGCTTCAGTTGTGTGGATGGCAGCAAAAGGGGGCACAGTTCGCTACTGTACAGCACAAGTACAAAATATAAAATAGTGAATAAGTGAACTTGATGAAAATAATCCAAATTAAAAGGTTTTAGTTTATTTGTCATAAAATATTTATATTGAGACTTAAGCAAAATAATCATTGTACATTTTAATGACTACCCAGCACCTTGAAGCGGTGGGGGAACACTGAGGTTCACTGGAGACATTTCCTGTTGAGCTTGAAGATCCTATTCGTTCATTTGCAACATCAATGTCAAAAGTGAAAAGGGAGCACAAGGCAGATATGTTATTTGGTGGCATGGGAGTATCTTGGGCCTGGATTTTCTTCTCGACCACGACTATAATTGTCACTTGCCTCATGCAATCGTGCCTGAAGGATTTAAGCACCCGCAACTTAAGGATTTTAAGTCCCTAAAAGTAATGTAGTTTTATCCAATGTAGTGTAACACAGGTAATCCGTGGTCTAAGTACCGAACGACTTACGCAAGTCTACATTTCCTAGGCCATGATGATTCCTATCTCCGATTCCATACAGGATTCGCTCAAGAATAATTGTGTAAATTCCATGATAACCTAGGGGCAGTCGGGACCACCCTCAAGTCCACCATTGCTCACTTCCACACACATGAACACTCAGACACGCACACAGGCACGCACCCTATTGCATTTGTGATATTGTGTGCCTCTGCGTGCAGATTTGTGACAGTGTATGTGTGTCTATTTGTGACGTTTATCTGAACTGGCCTTCTCTAGGTTAACCCAGCCTCAAATTAGTACCTTGTGCGGTGTGTGTAAACATCACCACTATGGAGGCAAAAGCGGCCATGCATGGCACTGGCCAACCACCCCCTTCGTAGGCGCACTTGTGTGTGTGTCTTTGCATAGTTAGCACAATAGGGGGCACAGGTGGTGCATCGGCCAGTCATCTCAGTCAACCAACCCATGGCACCTCGGTCTGTCCTGTGACCTGCCAGCAGGCATTCAACACTTCACGTGGCCTTAAAGTGCACCTGGCCTGGCACAAGTGCCATGGTGATGTCACTGCCACTTAATGGCGAATGGCGGTTGTTGTCTGTGCGAAAGTGAGATGGTGGACCTGAGGGTGTTGACACCGTGACTACATTCTCACAGAATTTACGCAAATCCCCCTTGCGTGAAACCAGCATGGAATCGGAGGTTGCACAAGTCTTAGACTTTAATGAGGCGACCAAAAAATAAGCTTTTGACTTTTTAATACTGTTGTAGGCAGCAGATGCCAATAATGTGATGTTAATTCGTGGTAAGAAGCGTTAAATTTCAAGGAAAAACGACGCAGGAAAGCATTGTAGATGTCATCAGAAATGGGAAGGTTTGAGTGAAACATATACGTACAGTATGCAGGTGGGCAGGTTACCGAGACGGGCATTGCAGTAGCACCCAGAGGTCTGTAACCACAAGGTCGGATAGTGTAAGAGAGTAGGCTTTGGCGTTTTTGTCGATTTTGCAAGATTTGTGGGATCTTGGATAAGTGATGGCAAGATGGGGTGGCATCTTTAGACATTTCACGATGACCTGTGCTTCTATGTCACAGGAACTATACCTTGATCCATCGATTTAAATAGATTCTTATGCTTAACTAGCTTTACTACCCGGCTTTGTCTAAGACTTGGATTCTTGTCTTGGATTAATACACGGCCTGCGCGGAGGGTTGGGGGGGAGGCGTGATGTCAGCACGCACACTGCGTAACGCTGCCGCATGCGGGTGACATCACAGATGTCACATCACAGATGTCACTTCACAGATGTCATCATCATGACCTAGGAACATCACCGCTCACGTGCCGTGCAAAATATATCCATTATTGCGCCCCCCCCCCCCCCAAAATACAAAAGTCTATTTTTATACTTTTTGCATTGTGTACAGTCTGGAAACTACCCACATGCCAAATTTAAAGTTTGTCGCATGACGGGAAGTATGCTAAACATTTCGAACAGACACACATTCACAAATGTCCCTTTTATATATACAGGATATAGATATGCATCGTATAACATATGTTTATACCATAATAGATTCGAAACCACGATATATTTCCACATATACAAAATATATGGCCAGAAATTAATAGGTTTATGTCGATTCATCAAAATTTGGTGGGGTAAATTGTTACCGTCGATGAATAAGCATCATCTCGCCTTGCTTTCACGCACGTTTATGCATGTTTATAACATTCCTAACAAAGTGTACAGCTTCAGTGCAATTAATATATGGTATACCTACATATTTACATTGACACGTATAATAGAAAAATAACACATGAAGGCTTGTGGTGTCTGCACTGTTATAAGAGCAATTGCCATATTTTTTTAAATTTTATATTATTTGTTAAGTAAGTTACTTGACCCTGAAAAAATCCATTTGAGATGGAACACCTTTTGCTTGTTCGCTTTGCAAGGGAGTCCACATTGTCAATTGACACATTCACGTATGGGTGATGTGAAATGCGGTTTCATTCATTAGTAACTGTATACTGTATGTTGCCTGTGCTTTTGTTTATTTAAAATGCATCAGAGCCTTTCATTGGAACTCCATCCTCGACTGCATCTCCTGCCAAATCTGAATCATTTGCGTCCCCTGCTCCTGCTATAGACCTTCTTGGAGGTAGGCTTGTAGTAGATGAGCTATGCTGCACTTCAATATCCTTGAGTGGGAAGCCAGTAAAATTAGTCTACATATTGCAGAGATGAGCATTGCTGATCATGTTATGAATTGAAGTGTGGGAACGTGGCCATGCATAGCTAATGTGCTGTAATAAGCATTAAACTGGTATTCACTGCTTCACTGCACCATGTTATGAAATATATATAAATTTTAACTAGGTGACATATCTATTACTGTATATTTTATCAGTCCGCAGTAATCAGTACTTATCGGTGGCTGAATCGATCTGTACTTGATCTTGTCGAATCTTGAAAGCAAAGCAGGGTTGGATGGGTGACCACCATGCTGCGTTATGTGGTGGTCAACATAGGGCAGTGCAGCAACATCCATTGTTGTATTGTGCTTCTGTGCTCCCACATCTATCTTGGCTCCATGCCTTCATCAGTTCACGCGGACCAGCATTGTGAAGTAGTCAAACTGTCCCTGTGAAACACGTGACATGGGAGTCCTGCACGCAGCATTGGAATGACAATAATATGCGTGACATGGTTAACGTCTCATTTATGTGTTCTTGCCATGTTGCGGATATAGATGCGTTTGGATCTCCTACACAGGGGGCTATGCCAATTTCTGCCACGTCTCCAGCTCCTGATCCTTTCGCAGGTAACATTTAACCAAGGTTTTACATTTCACATGATCATTCCCTGCTACATGCAGCTGATTTGTTGTCAAATTAAGTGTATATGCTCATTCTGCTTGAAATTGTGAGTATTGAAGCGGTGTTGTGAGCCTGGGGGTGATATTTGGCTCTTTGAGAGATGTGAGCACTGCAAGGTAGTTGACACATTTTCTTGCCGACGACAATCACCCACCCATCGTCAACAAAGACCTTAATGTTTCTCACCTCTGGTTTTTCCCTCCCATATTTACAAAAATGTGTTTTATAGTATTTGGCTGCTATAAATTTCTACATGATAAGCCACTTTGTTGTTGCTATTATTTGCAACAAGGTCGCTTCTGAAAAAGAGCTATACAACTCAGTGGGCCGTACCTGGTAAAACAAAATACGTATATAGTTTAAAAATAATTTTGATAGAAGTTTTCTGTATAGCTAATAGAGGCATGCGTGTGCTGTCTCCGGAAAGCAGGGTGCACCACCTCTGTTTGCCTCTCACACTCCGCCCTCCCTCTGCCTCCCTCTCATCATCCCCTCCTCACTGCCCCCCCTTCATGTTATGCTTCAATGTAGGGTCTGTTCTCCTATAACGCCGCATTTTCATAACGCGAATTGGATATAACGTGACGAAAGTATTAGGAAACACGTAATTTTATAACACGGATGCGAAATTGCTGTAACGTGATCGAATGAAGGGATCTACGTCACACAAGTAGGAATAAGCGGTTGTATGGTTGCCTCGGCATAGCATCACACAAGGCATTGGGATGCTGCTGGATACTTGTAGATGCTAACCGTGCACCTCAGTCTTTGTTCAACTTGCATAAGCATCTCACGTGTTATCGAGGACTATGCTCTACCCAATAGTATTTATTATAACTCGATTTTTCCGTAACGGTATTCTTTAGGAAGGCAACTACCACATTATAGAACAGACTGTAGGTTATGATAATTATGTGTAACAATTTTGTTTAGCAATTTTTTTTGTTCCTGGGTAGTAAGTGTTATTTCCTAATTGCTTTTGCCTCAAGTACAGAAAATGGCTATTCCCCACAAACTTTGCTTTTGTGACCAGGACAGTGATATTTTGAAATGTACCTATTTTCCAGAACATTCCAGATATATTCAGTGCTAAATATACTTGGAGAAACTTGTAGAACATTCTAGAACTTTCCAGTAATATTAATTGTAGTGTAAATACAGGGGCCTTAAGCCCACCAGTTCAGTTTAGTTCCACCTGCCTAAGTGGATACATATCTGCATTTTTGTGAGATGGCATCAAGAGGCTGCAAGCATCCGGCACACGAATTTTGCGATGTCTGCATCCAATTTATCACGACGAGCGAAAAAATACTCTGTGGAAGCATCTGCTAAGATGTGTGAGGCCTACAAGGCATATTTCTGCATGTCTGTCGGGGATCAAGACAAACCCTTGGCACGCCATTTCACCTGCGAGTAATGCAAACAAACTCTGGAATATAAGATGTACAATTGTTGCTTGGAATTTTTTGTTCTAAAATTTGTAAAAAATAAAAATTGTAAAAGTTTAAAAATGTTTTACAATTTTCAATGTTATTTAAATAATATATCATGAAAATGGTGAGAGAATCTCTTACACATTAGTCATGGGTGAAATAAATGTATTTTGTAAGATGGTACAGAGGGTAAAAGAGAGCCATGAAGTTCGCTATCCCAAGAATTTGGCGGGAACCCACTGACCACTCAAGCAACTGCTACTTCTGCATGGTGGACCCTTCCAAACGTCGGACTGGCAAAAATGCACCTGCTATCACGTATCCAGACCTTCCTTCATCCATCGCCCCAGTGCCAAACTACCATGACCTCCCCGTACCCACTCCTCCGGAGAGAGAGCAGCCGTTTTTAGAAAAGAGCTGCAAGTTCGGAGCGAGGAAGGTGTTCTAGATCCAGATGACAATTTCAGAGGTGGAGCTGAGGAGAGAAACCCATGCTACCCCAACCAAAAAGACCTCAATGACTTAATCAGAGATCTTGGTCTCACCAAGTCCAATTCCGAGCTTTTGACGTCTAGGCTCAAGCAGTGGAACTTGTTGGATAAAAGTGTGAAAGTCGCAGATCAGAGGAAGCGTCACCAATCTTTTTGCAGCTTCTTCACCCGTCAAGATGGGCTCTGCTTCTGCCACAATGTGACCAGTCTGTTCGAGACAATCGGAATCGCCTGTAACCAGAATGAGTGGCGCCTCTTCATTGACAGCTCATCCAGGAGCCTCAAAGTCATGCTGCTCCATAATGGTAACGAGTACCTGTCTCTTCCCCTGGCTCACTCGGTGCACCTCAAAGAGTATTACAACAGCATCAAGACCTTGCTGGATGCCTGGAAGTATGATGAGTATGGCTGGGAGGTCATCGGAGACTTTAAAATGGTGGCATTCCTGATGGGTCTCCAAGGCGGTTTTGCCAAGTTTCCCTGCTATCTTTGCTTTTGGGACAGCAGGGACACCAAGGCACACTACCAGAGGCGGGACTGGCCACTGGTGGACCCCAGAAGATGGTGATGCCACCACTGCACATCAAATTGGGCCTTATGAAACAATTTGTTAGAGATGTAGATAAGGAATCGGCAGCCTTCAAGTACCTTCAAAACTTCTTCCCTAAGCTGTTTGAGGCAAAGGTCAAAGCTGGGGTCTTCGTTGGAGCACAGATAAAGAAGATCCTGGAGTGCAATTAATGCCCCAATAAACTCACTAGTAAGGAGAAAGCAGCTTGGAACAGCTTTGTCGCAGTGGTTCGTGGCTTCCTGGGCAATCACAAGGTCAAAAACTACGTGGAGCTGTTTGAGGCTGGTCAAGAACTACATCACAATGGGCTGTAGGATGTCCCTCAAAGTCAATATCCTTGATGCTCGTCTTGATAAATTCAAAGGTAACATGGGAGTGTACTCGGAGGAGCAAGGCGAGCGCTTCCACCAGGATATACTGGACTTTGAACGCCACAACCAAGGACCGTATAACGAGAACATGATTGGAGACTACATTTGGGGGCTGATTCGTGAAAGCGATTTACAGTATAATCGTAAATCTCGGAAAACTACTCGCTTCTAAATCTTAGTAATTTTACTTTACTATAAAAAATGTAAAAAAAATATTCTGAAGTTACGTGAACGGAAAGACACTTTCGCCCGTTTTCTCATTGAAAATAAGTACATTTCAAAATATCACTGTACTGGTCACAAAAGCAAAGGTTGTGGTGAATAATAGCCATTTTCTTTACTTTTTAGGCATAAACAATTAAGAAATAACACTTACTACCCAGGAACAAAAATTGTGTTACATAGTGTCATTCTTTCTGCTGCATAATAGCCATTTTTTTAAGCTGCCATTTTGCTGCAATACAAAAGTAAGTCTTATTGTTTTCTGCGACGTTGCGCTGGGGAGCTTTTAGTGGATTCCGATGTATTCCTGTAGTGGTACATGTGATGGTTTTGGAGCAGGCCCACAGTACTGTTGACCAAAAGTAGTCTTTTCTCTTGGCAGTGGAAACCTTGCACCTGGATTATCGTCACAAGTGTTTTCTTTTCCTAGTCAATGTTTGCAACTGGCAAAAGTTTTGAAACTTTAAATTCCCACTTTTTATATAAACCACATCAGCAGGCATCATGTGTGGGCCAGGCTTCCTCTGAAAATGAACTCGCAGTTCAGGTGGGCTTTATCCGGTAAATAAAATAGTTGAGATTTTTGTTTAGTTTAACAAAGTATGGTATTGTGTGCTGGTTTTTTGTGTGGGTCTCCGCAGCACTGACCCTGCAGCCTACGTCTGACCCCAAAAGTGGGGGCTCCTCCCAGCAGCTTGACTTCGACATGTTTGGTGCGCAAGCCGCCCCCATCGCTCCCACAACCATTCTCCCTGCTGCTGCCACCGCCCCCTCCCAGGAAACATCAGGTGGGAGCGCATGGTGCCTTGTGTGCGTGGGGTGTGCCGTGTGCGCTCGAGTTTTTTTAGTATGAAACCTCGTTCTATCTCTGACCTCCATTTAAGTATTGACCATTCCTCCGTAACCTCCAGTGCACCCAGCCATGTGTTGGTGTCACAGCCCCAAATGGCCCCCACCAAAATACCCCCCCCCCCAGTGCCCCCCTCCCCCCAGCCGGTTGCCAGGGAGACGTCCATTGAACCCAGCCACACCAAGACGCCAGAGGAGGGGTCCAGGGGCCAAAGGAGAAGTGAGAGAGGGGGGGGCGAGGCACAAGAAGTTGGGGGGGAAGGTGGAAGGCAGTGAATGGTGGGGAAAGGGGTGCCAGAGGTTAGGTGGAACCCCTGGAGCTAAATAAATGATGCCAAATTTTAGAGAAACCGAGGTCGAGAGTAAGGACGCCACGGGAGGGTTAAAAAGCTTCTTGGATCATCAGAAGAGTTCCATGGTGAAGCTGTGTGAGCACAGCCGTAAAAAGTTCCATCGAGTAGCAGTGCAGCGAGAGTACTGATGAGAGCAGCCAGAAGAATAGATTGCTACCTAAACACATACGGGAGCAATGACTGGAAAAAGTTATCATGAATCCGGTGAGTGTAAAATCATTAAACTAAAAAAACGAAACTCTCTTATTTTACCAGGTAAGGCCCACTGAGCTATGTAGCTCTTTTTCAGAAGTCACCTAGCCACAAATGATAGCTCAACGAAGTGGCTTACCATGTGGAAATGTACAAGCATCCAAATACTCTAAACGCATGTTTCTAAGTGTGGAGGGAAAACCGGAGAGCCTGGAGAAAAATCCACGCGACCACGGGGAGAGCATGCAAACTCTAAATATACAGGCGTCTAGGTCGGCATCGAACTCACGACCTTCTGCATACAATGTGAGGGAGTTGAAATCTCGCAACTGTGGCACCCCCATTAAATCAAGCAAGCAGCTTAATGCTGGATTCAACCTTAATACCAGAACTGCAGTTGCTTGATATAATGCAGTGTTATTTAAATATTGCACTTTCATCCATTTATCTAAACTCTGTTTCTGGCTATACATATCAGCAGTGGGATTTGGTTTGTCAACTGACCCATAGGCTCCTCCAGGTTGTCTTGCTAAAATCAGTCCCTGATTTGATCACAGGTGTGTTAACACTGCTCCCTACTTGCGTGCCTTGGAGGCCTTTGCTCGACGTTTGTTAATGGTAGATACGGTGACTAACCCAGGTGTGTGTGTGTGTACGTTGTTGTGACCTGCAGGATTTGACCTCATAGGAGACATGCTTTTACCAAGCATGCAGCAGCAGCAACCGCAGATGCAGCCTCAAGTTCTAGGACATGCGCAGCAGGCGACTGGCAAGCTCGTCGCAAACGATCTTGACTCGTCGCTGGCGAACCTTGTTGGAAGTGAGTAGGGGGCCTTTTAATGCTCGTCAGTGTGCACCAACTCGACAACATGTGTGAGGTGGCGTTTGACCAAATTTTTCCAAATTGACGCAGAGTGGATAAAACCCGTCACAATAATAAAACTGAAAAAACAATGTATGACACACAGGCTTTCGCGACCAATATTATTCATACGAGGTTTTTTGTTTTGGTGTTATATCGCACAAATGTGTCGTTAAACCTGCCACCACCCAACACAACCAATTAGTAAGGTTTGGCACATAAAAAGTGCCAAATAGTTCAGCACCGGTGTTGGAGAGTACGACATTTTGCTGGTAATTACAACTAGCCTCATCAGGCGATAGCCAGAAATGATGAGGCTAGTAGTAATTACAACCAGTGTCATCTAACCCAAAAAAAAAACTTATGGAAAAACAATGAAACTGCCATTGGACAAATATCCCAATGCTGAAGATTTACTGTAAAATTACTCGGCTGGGGATTACATTTAGCGACGTCACCCCCACCCGCCTCACTACTGTACACAGTTGGCAGGACCCCTCTGAAAACTACCTCGCTTGGTATGCAGGAGGTCGTGGGTTCGATCCCAAACCTGACTCCTGCTGTATATTTGGAGTTTGCCGGTCTCTCTCGCCGTGGTCGCGTGGAATTTTCTCCGGGTCCTCCGGTTTTTCCCTCCATTTAGAATCAACATCACGCGTTCACAGTATTTGTCTGCTGTAAATTTCCACATAATGAGAAGCCACTTCGTTGAGCTGTCATTTGTGATAGCCAGGCCACTTCTGAAAAAGAGCTACATAGCTCAGTGGGGCCTGACCTGGTAAAATTTAGTTTTTATAATTTTTTATATAAAAAGAGTCATGAGACTTAGTGGGGCTTTCCTGGGTAAATAAGTCTAATGATAATCTCAATAATAATAATAATACATGCAAATTGCTTATAATTGTCAAACAAATCTTAGCTTTCTTTTAAAACACTCATTTTTGGGAATGATTTCGTGCTTAAATGTGGGTCCTTTGAATGTATTTACAAATGGTTGTGCTTTTCATCCTGTGCCATTACCAAATCTTATACTGCCATTTTTTTAACAGATCTTGGCATCAGCAGTCCAGCAAAAAAGTAAGTTTTACCATTTAATATATTAAATGTGTAGTTTTTCTTTACAACCGATATATACATTCAATTTACTTTTCAAAGATGGAAATTTTTCCAGTGATAAACTTATAATGTGCATGTTTTAGGGTTGGGCACACCGAGTTTTTCGCATGTGTTGCAGTGGTCACGCTGTGCATCTGTGCTTGCTTGTGTTGCGTTTGGCTGTAAGGGTGGAGAGCAGGTGATAATCCACACTTAGAAAAATTATTCAACTACAGTAATGGCAACGGCTGCAAAAACTGTGACTACAACTACAGAAACCGCAACAAATACAGCAACAACAACAGTGACAATGCCCGCAGTACCAGCTCCAACAACTAAAGGGTGACGGCAACAACAGGACAGGCTGTAACTGCGCCCCAGAACATCCGTTTACTCCCATAATTCCGTCACACTGCCTTCTTGTACCAGTGTATCGGTGCCACGATTGTCCCTTGTGTATCACAACGTGTTGCTTCCATCGACGTAGCATTATTTATCTTCTTTATTGAGCAGTAAGTTAGTCAACATTGCCATGATTGTTTCTCCCATCGCACTCACCGACTCGGTCCCCTCTCGTTTAAAACGCGCTGCTGTCAACCCTCTACTCAACAAGCCCAGGCCTTGATTCTGATTCACCAAACAACTATTACCCTATCTCCAATCTGCCTTTTCTTTCCAAGGTTCTCAGGCATGTGGCTGCCTCTCGGTTCCCAACACCATTTACTTTCTAATTACCTTAATGTTACTGCGCTATACTGGATTTGATGCTATTTATTTAAGTGCAAGCAATTGTTTAGCCTGGGTGGCTCTAAGTATGCAAATCAGCACAGTTTAATTCGGCATCCCCCACCAGGTCTCTGTCTTGGGTCCACGTCTCCTCTGTATCTACATGACCGTGTTAGGTGGTACTTTCAATTATCAGAGCTTGGGTGCAGCACAACTTCCTCCATCTGAATGAGAGATAAAACGGAGGTGATATATGCTCATTGGGTCTCGTCGCCAGCTGGTACAGGCAGGTCTGCTCAATCTGATGACCGATGGTCACAACAAACTCTCTGCACCAGAAAGTCAAATCTTGGCGTGTTCCTCGATGCATCATTCACTTTCGAGGCCCACATTCATAAAATTTTCAAGGTTGCTTTTTTTTCCCCCATTTACGGAATATTTCCTGGTTTACATCCAATCCTCGCGGCTGCTAATGTGGATAAATTGGTTTGCACTTTCATTTTCTCACATCCACGACTGCATTGCCTTGTTTACTGGCACCTCCAGCATGGTGCTTTGTTGACTCCGGTCTGTTGATAATGCAGCTGACCCAAACTCCTCGTTCAGAACATGTATCACCCCTCTGCTTGCATCGCCTCACTGATTTCCGGTTAAATTCCATACAGCATTCAAGGTCCTCCGCTCATTCAAGGCACTGAATGATCTCGCAGCTCCATATATTGGGGAGTTGCTGTGCCCCAACGTTCCAACAAGAACTCTGAGATCAGTGGACTTGGATCTCCCCTGCATTCCCAAAACAAAATCTCAAGTCCACGTGTGATCGGGCCTTCACTTCCGTGTTACCCGGATTGTAGAACTCTCTGCCGAAGACTGTCAGGGAGCCTGGTTTGGTTGGGATCTACAAGTCCTTCTGCCTAAAGACAATTCTCATTTAGAAGGCATTTTATATTCTAACTTAGACACTTTTTACACAACCCAACCCCAATTTTCATTAATGCCAAGTGCCGTCAGATTTTATGAAAGGCGCTGCATCAGCTGAACTCCTGCATGAAGATGCCTTTTAGTAGTGAGTGGCAAAAGCTTGTGGCCTAACCCAGAATACCTCGATTGGATTACTTTGAACGTTATTGGCACTTATCACCAGGCCATTTTTTTGCTCAATTTAAAACACTTATGAAAGGAACTTGGACCACTTTTTCAGTCTCTCTGGTCATCAGCTCATAGGATTTTGCCAAGCCTCTGGTTGACCGCTCTTGAATTTATCCTGAATGAATTGTTCTCGCTTTCTTGGAGGTCACATGAGTGGTGAGCTGAACTGGGTTGTGGTGATGACAGGCAGTTGCCGTGCGTGTGTTGCCTCTTCTAGGGGCCAGTGGAGTGGAGGTGAGAAGAAGTTAACGGGAGGAGCCAACTGGCAGCCACGTGCCGCTCCACCAGCCTGGGCTCCGGCACCCACTGCTCCAGCACCTGCCATGGTGAGAGAATGGCATGTATTATCATCATCACCACCATCATCATCTTCTTTATAATCTTTCTCATCTTTAGTTCCTGCGTGCTCTTGTAGGTCCTCTGTAGATGGATTGAACTACCTTTTTGACGTCATCTGATTTACTTGCACCACTGGGCTTGCAGTTCCCCCTGGCTGCACTCGTGACTTGCTCCCTGTTTGAAATTCTGGACTAAATTCTCTTTCTGGTACATTCTGCATAAAGGAAAATAATCCAATATTTATTTCGAGCAAATTGATTTAGACACTTCATGTAAAACGAGGTTAAAATTGTGTATTTCTCAATCTTATAAATTATACACCTCCCAATGAAGTTTTTCAAAAGCATTTTTAGAAAAAACAGTTGCATTACACATGGTTGTGCTGTCATGTTATATTTACCCCAGAATCATATTGTTCATGCTGTGGTTTACTCTCCCTCTCATGGATTACAATCACTTTAAGTAAAATTGTAACATTTCATTATCTTGTTGTCTGTGTGGCATGTAACATCTGCAGTACTTTCACTTGTTAACAGAACCTCCAACGATTTGCAGATATGTTTTCTGACAATTGAGAAAGCAATCCCCTGGTCAAGCCACAGCTATGAATTTGAGTGATGCCGCTGCCTTATGTTATATGCCCTAAGTGAGGCGTTATATTCCTGCGTAATAAAAGGTCAACCAAAGCAAGGTGACAATGCTGCCCTTAGTTACAGCGGGGTTGGCCCGCTTGCCTTGCCTCTGCCACGAGAGAGGTGATGGTGGAGTCGTACATTTCTCTGCACTGGAGCGATTTAGTCCCCTACGGTTGTGCCGACTGGGCTCACCTCGTGGAAACCCACAATCAACATGAGACCGAGGCTTCTTGGCTGTTGTGACTAAACTGTTTTGAACATGGGCACCTTTCTCACCTTGGTGATGAACCACCATTAATAAGCACAACAGGTGGGGCATGAAACACATTCCGTTCAGTCCTGGCTTCCAGCAGCCCAGTGAATATCCCCCGCGTGTTTTGTGGTGTGACATTACAGCAGCAGTAGCATCGTGACTATGTGCCTATGCATAACCACAACTCCTAAAGGGTTGTGTGGGATGCATGAGGCCAGACCAGTGACACTTTTAAATCATAAGCTACATTAGTTGTATGGCTATGTACTTGTGTTGGGTTTTCATGACGTCACATTGCCCACGTGACATGGCGCAGATAAACTTAGAGATTCACGAAACAGTTTACTGATTGGATGCTGGCTTCTATTGTGAATTTTCTTATCTGTGACCTTCCTCCCATACCTAAGAGCAATCTTACTGCAATAACCTAATGACACTACTTCACCTAATCTCCCTGCTCGATACATCACCCATACCTGCTGTTGTAGCATTCATCTTGATATGTGGCTGCATTCGGATGCTTAAAAAACCGAGTGAATGCGCTGCCCCACAATTCAATGGGGATGGCTGCTGGGTAACATCTCGGCCAATATGGTTTGTGAGCTTCTGCAACCACTTGAGCACCTTCACAACAGTGTACAGCTCATTGCCATAAGTAATACCTGGTGCCAATGTTTGAGGATACATCTTCCTCATGAGACTTGATGAATTGAGAGGTCTACAGCTGTTGCCAAGAAACAGCTGACTTGGTGCACACTGGATTATTTTCACACAATCTCGTGTCTTTGCTTAACTTTTGGTCAAAGTGTGTCACCTTGTCTTACTTTGGTACTTTCTTCATGTACAACTTGCTCCTGTGGTTGGCTGGTCTTTGGTTACCAATGATGTTCACAAATACTTCCTGTGTGCAATGTGGGTTTGTCTTATTTCCCTTTTCGAAATGAAGAATAATTAAGGCATTATTCCATAATCTGGAATTACATTTTTGTTTGCAAGTATTTGTAAACTAATTCTGCTCAGAGGGTTTTTTTGGGTTTAGATTGCGTAAATATAAATGTCGTTAAAGCCGTCACCACCCGACACAGCCAATTAGTAAGGTTTGTCACGTAAACAAAACATGCCAATTTGTTATTAGTACAGCACACCGGTGTGTTGGAGAATGTCGGATGGTAGTGGGTTTAAGAACACATTTATATTCAAGCGACCTTATCCAAAAAAACCTTATGGATAATTCTTGGCTTAAAGCTTTTGTGACTGCAGGAATTCATACTCTTTGGGTCTTTCGGTAAAATCACGTAGATAGAAAAATAATGTAAAAATACACTTTGGTTCTTTCGATAAAGTCACATAGGTATAAAATAAATCGCGATGTTTCAGGTGCAACACAAGCGTCTGTCCACCTGATGACGGACGCTTGTGTTGCGCCCGAAACGTCGATTTATTTTATTTTAGACCTATGTGACTTTACCGAAAGAACCAAAGAGTATGGATTCCTGCAGTCACGAAAGCTTCAAATAAATTTTTTAAAATAATTTATAAAATCACGACGTTTTGATTGCAACACAAGCAATCGTCCTCAGGTGAAAAAATATAGCAAGAGAGCTGCCGAAGCAGATTGTTATATAGGCCTGAGATGGGTGCAGCCCAAGGGTAAGTGGGCGGGGTTAGAAAAGAAAGATCGAGGGCACCCCAAAGGTGTTGGGCTGGCCATTGTATTGTGAGAGATTAGCATGTCAATGTAGCTACCGCCACGTCGTGGAATGCAACTCAAAGAGTCAGAAATAACTGCTAACATCGGCAGGTAGGATGGAAGCATCACAGCCAGTTATGACTTAACCTGGTTAATAACGTCCTTCCAATGATTGCTCTGTTTTTACCCATCTTAGTTGAAATTTTGTCTTTATATATCTGGATGGCTTCATGAACGAATCTTTGTTCATAGCCAGTAGGTTTGCAGAGTACCTTCGTCTTGGAAAAATCTATTTCATGTGTACCCACAGCGTTAAAACAATGATCAGCCACGGCTGAGGTATTGGTCCTACTGTGTTTCAGATCTGCCTTGTGTTCACGAACGCGGTGCAAGACATGTCGCTTAGTTTCCCCAATGTAACTACTGCCGCAGCCACAGCTTAATTTGTAGATACCGGGGTATTGCATGTCAGGGATCACATCCTTCACAGATGGGATCAGATCACGAATTTTATGTACGGTGTTGAATCGAACCTGGATGTTGTGTTTGCTCATGATTTTGGAAATCTTTTTAGTGACCCCTGCTATGTATGGCAAGGTGATGGTTTTGATTGGGTCCTCAGTTGGTTCTCTCCCAACGGTTGGGATGATAGCTTTATGGATTGTGTAGTCCGAATAGCCATTCACCTTGAGGGCTTGATATACTTGCTCCAGTTCACTAGCTAGGTGGTGATGGCTGGAAATGCAATGAGCCCTATGGTGTAGAGTTTTTATGAAGGAATTCTTCTGGGGTTGGATGGTGGGTGGCTTTCCTGTAGACAGTGTTCCAATGAGCCATCTAGTCTATTTTCAAATAAAACATCCAAGAATGGTAACTTGCCATCCTTTTCCACCTCCATGGTGAATTTGATGGTTTGGTGTATGGAATTGATGTGGTTGAAGAATTGGTTCAGAGCTGGCAGGCCATGTGGCCAGATGACAAACGTGCCATCTACGTATCTCTTCCACAAGGAGGGACGTAGGATGGATGCCTGGATGGCATCTGTCTCAAAATTTTCCATGAAAACATTGGCTATCACTGGAGATAAGGGAGAACCCATTGGGGTACCTTCAACTTATTTGTAGAATGTACCATTCCAGGTGAAGTAAGTGTTGGTGAGGCAGTGTCTCACCAGGGCCGGTACATCAGCATTCAGTCCTTGTTGAACCAAATCTTCAATGATTGCAATGGTGTCAGGCACAGGAACTTCTGTAAACAAACTACATCGAAGCTGACAAGCAAATCACCTGGAGATAGTGAGATGTCTTAAATTCGAGATACCAAGTGAGCTGAATTAAGTACAGCTCAGGTGGTCTTGCCAGTGAATGGAAGCAAGGTAAGGATGTTAAACTATTTCTGCTCGTTTTAGTTCAGCAATTGGTGTCACTTCTTTGTCCAGTTATGCCGTCTGGTCCAGGAGATTTTCCCCCTTTTCGTTCTGTGACTTGGTGCGGTGGTGGCGGCGAGATGTTAACTTCCTCACCTGGTATACACGAGGCCATGGGTTTGATCCCGACCCTCACACATGCTATATATTTGGAGTTTGGGGTGTGTCTCTCTCTCTCTCCACGTGGTCAGGTGCATTTTTATCAGGGTCCTCTGGTTTTTTCCCCTCCACATTTGGAAACATGCATTTAGAGTATTTGGATGTTATACATTTCCACACGACAAGCCACTTCGTTGAGCTATCGTTTGTGGTAACCAGGTCGCTTCTGAAAAAAAGATATATACAGTGAGGGGAAAAAAGTATTTGATCCCCTGCTGATTTTGTACGTTTGCCCACTGACAAAGAAATGATCAGTCTATAATTTTAATGGTAGGTTTATTTGAACAGTGAGAGACAGAATAACAACAACAAAATCCAGAAAAACGCATGTCAAAAATTGATTTGCATTTTAATGAGGGAAATAAGTAGTTGACCCCTCTGCAAAACATGTACTTTTGTACGGGCATAGGGGTGTTCGGGCGTACGAGCATACACAAACAAGCAGGTGCGTGTCGCGCAGTACGCAGGCCCCCCCACACGCATTGAGATCCGTGACATTCATTGTTTGATTCGTAAAAAAGGGTGTGGGAAAAGGTCAAGGACTAGAATGGTTACATTCATTCTGGAATGATAAACGATAATTGAATTCAGTTTTTTTTTAATCTCATGCAATTCAGTCAGAACAAAAAATAAAAACAGAAGAAATCATGATTAATGTAAAAAAAAATGTCCGTGAGGCAGTGTTTCACAAATATACAGTGAAGGAAAAAAGTATTTGATCCCCTGCTGAATTTGTACGTTTTCCCACTGACAAAGAAATGATCAGTCTATAATTTTAATGGTAGGTTTATTTGAACAGTGAAAGACAGAATAACAACAATAAA